CCTTCTCCATTGGCTCCACTGGCATTGTGGTGTATGACTACCAGCAGGTAGGTATGCTGGACCTTCTGACCCAGGGGCTGGGGGACCAATGACAAGACTTTGCTAGTTCCACCCCGATGTACCAGTTCATACACATCCCTTTCTCCCCATTCCCCAGTGCTTCTGCCTCTCCTGGGGTACCCGAGCCCCAGTTTCCAATGAATCCCTGCAGTGCTCAACCTAGTGGGTAATGGCCCAGGACCAAGGTTAGGAAGCGAGCAAGGCAGGACCCTCCCGAATGAACTCTGGGGTTCCCATGCCCAGCTCCTGATTGCCTACAAGCCAGCCCCGGGAACCTGCTGCTACATCATGAAGATGGCTCCGGAGAGCATCCCAAGTCTTGAGGCTCTCACTAGAAAATTCCAGAACTTCCAGGTAGGTGTGTAGGTGAGACGGAATGGGTTGTCTCCCTCCCCGAGCTGCTGGAAGGAGCATTTGTCACCTGTATAGCACCTCTCTTCGTGGGCTGCCAGGTGAGACTTACCACACCTTCCCTACCTCTTCCTCAGTCCTGTCCCTGGCTAAACTGCTGGTCTCAGCAGAACCCACGTATCGCCTAGGGGCTTCTGACTCCAGCACAGCACCCTCTTTGCTAGTGAGGAAACTCACAGAGAGATTACCTGAGGTCCTATGACAGGGGCTGTGGGTGAGACGGAAACTCAGTTCCCAGGCTCCAAATTAGATGTTTTTTCCCAGGTCAAGCCTGCAATGTCTCTCTCTAAGCTGGACCAGGAGGAGGGCCATGATACTGGTTCAGCATCCTCTGGGCACCTGGACTTCTTGGGCACCACCGTGAGCACCCTGTGTGGCGAGGTCCCCCTCTTCTACATCTAGAACCCCTCAGGTGAGCAGGTGCAACTGCCAGGGCACTGGAGCAGAAGTGGCCCAGGAAGGCTTGGGCCACCTTGCCATGTCAGCTGACGAGAAACTGGGGGCCCTCTGAGGTGCGGTCACTTAAGGAGCTCTGAGAAAGGAAGATTCATAGACAATCTCCATCCCCAGCCCCTCTCCCTCACTTACTAACAGTGTTCTTTTGCTTCACAGGGCCTGTGGAAGCCCCAAGGAGATGGGGAAGGCTCCCAGCACGGGGTCTTTTGCAGACCGGCAGGAAGCTGCTTCTGTGCACACCACAGAGACAGGCCCTGGAGAAGTGGGGGCTTCAGGGAGAGGGGGACGCTGCACGGGAGAGGCAGCTCCGAGGGGCCAGGGGTCTCCCCCCACAAGAGAATAAAGCAGCCTGATTGAAAAAGGGTGTCTCCCTTCCAACCCCTCACACCACTTCTATCCTGCTCCCGTCGGGGCCAGCTAGGGGAAGGGTGGGGCCCTGGGGAAGCAGAGGGGCTGTCTCGTTCTCCCTCTGTTCCAAGGTGAAGGGGAGACCGAGGGCAGCAGCAGGGGACTGGGGAGCAATCCGTGGGCTTTAAGCGCCCTCCAGTGGTGCCTCCCGAGGGAGAGGGAGAGACAGACAGCGAGGCAGAAAGACAGAACCAGGGAGACAGGGACCGCGCAGGGAGAGAACAGGATGCGAGCGAGGAAAGACCGAAGGCGCCGGCGGAGGGACGCGGTCTGAGAGCGAGGGGAGAGCGAGGCGGGGCCGCGCGGGCGACTTGACAGCGCGTCCCCGACCCGGGACGGGGCTCGCCCGCAGCCCGCGGGATCAGCCGCCACTAGAGGGCACCTGGCGGGAGCGGCGGCCCACCCGGCGCCCCGGGGCCCCACGCCCCTCCCGGCCGCGGGCCCAGCCCCGGGCGCAGAGCCCCCTCCCGGGCGGGCCCGCTCGCCGCGCTCCCCGCCTCCGGCTGGCGCGCTGCCCGGCCCCGAGGGGGCCGAGCTCCCGGCGAAAACCCGCCCTCCAGCGAGCTCATTTCCCTAAAAAGGGGGGAGGAGGGAGCAACGAGCGAGCGAGCGAAGGAAAGAGAAAAAGCTGGGAAGGGAGCGGAGCGGGCAGCGGGCGCTGGGCGAGGGCCGGGGAGCCGGCCGGAGAGGGGGCGGGAGACAGGAAGGAGGGAGCTGCGCAGGGAAGGGGAAGAGGTGGGGAGGGCGAGGGGGAGCGCGGGAGGGAGCACGGCCCTCCCCTCGCCGCCAGTCCTCCTTCCCCCGCGCCCGCTCCCGCGTCCGGGCGCGACCCGCCGCCGCCGCGCCCGCCAGCATGCCCGGCGTGGCCCGCCTGCCGCTGCTGCTCTGGCTGCTGCTGCTCCCGCGCCCGGGCCGGCCGCTGGACCTGGCCGACTACACCTATGACCTGGGGGACGAGGACGACTCGGAGTCTCTCAGCTACAAAGACCCCTGCAAGGCGGGTAGGCGCCCCCACCCCGCGGCAGCCGGGGCGCCCGGGGCCGGCGCGGGCAGGCCCGGCGGGGAGGCGCGGGCTGCTTAGGGTTTGGGGCTGGGAGGGAGACAGTCCAGTGTGGGAAGCCGGGAGCTGCCTGGTTGGCAATGCAGTGGGGAACAAAAGAAAGAGGCAGAGCAGGAGGGGGAAGTTTGGGGGACTTTTAGGACTGAAGTTTTGCTGCTGTTTGTGGAAGCTGCTGCCGCCTCCTCTTGTCTTCCCAGAGGATTCCTGGGGAAGGCTCCCAGAGTCCTGAGAGAAACCCGTGGCCAAGGAGGCTTTTCCTCCCGCAGGAAACTTTCCTGGCCAAACTCCCGTGTATGTGTGTGCCTGTGCGTGTGTGAGCACTTTTCCCTTCTCCCCCATCTCCAGGACATTGGTGTTTTCCAGCCTGTCTGTCTGGGCTGGCCCAGGGCTGCACATCTGTCTCATGGGGTGCACAAAGGCCCGCATCTCCAAGGAGCAAGTCTCCTGAGCTTTCCACCCCCATCCAGCCCCTGTGAAGAATAAAGTTTTCCAAGGGATTGTCGGAGATGGTCAGAGGGTGCTCTCCAGGTATCCCACGGAGCACCCCCAGAGCAACACCTTCTGGGACCAAGGAGACAGCTGTCAAAGTCAGAGGCCAGCCCAAGAGGGGGACTTACCTCTGCCCTGTGTGCCAGATGCCCCTACCAGGCCAAATTGGGGTGGAAAGGGGGAAAACAGAGAACTCAGATAATATATCAGCTCTCTCAGTCCACAGACACAGGAGGTTAATTAGCCGAGGTCAGCGTCCTGGAGTTAGTGTGGAGGGGAGGGGGTTGTTCATTCTTTGTCCAGGAAGACCCCGTGTAACCCCTTCACTCCTGCTGGGCCCAGAGGGGTCCTGCCCCTGGAGTGACCAGATGGCCAGGCACTTGGGCCATTTGTCTCATCAGATGACCCTGAACAGGCTGCCTGGGACAAGAAAAAAGGGCATAAGGTATCAGCACCTTTCTTTGACTCACTGCCTTTGACTTCAGGCTGTCTCCAAACAGCCAGAGCCTGGGGCTGGGGCACAGCAACTAGAGTTCCCAGAGTGCCTGAGTGTGGCACCCAGGGTTGGGGAGCAGGTTGCCCTAGTCCTGACCTTGGAGACCCCACTTTGGGTGGACGGACCAAGCCCTTCTTCCTCCACCCCTGCCGGGCTGTGAGTAAAACCAGAAGTTAGCCATCATGTTTCTCGCTGGGCTTGGGCAGGCATGAGGTTAGTGGATAGAGGGGCATGGGAGGCAGACAGACCTATCTCTCAATCCTATACCCACAACTCATTAGCTGTATACTAACTTTGGGGATGTTAATTATCATCTCTGAACTTCGCTTTTCTCACCTGTAAAACAGAACTGGTGATATGCCTCTCTGTAGAGTTGGTGGGAAGGATTAAATATAAGAACATATATGAAACACTTATTAACACTTAACACGCAGTAAGCTCTGAATAAATGTTAGCTGCCTACCTCCATTTCCTGTGCCTTACACTCTTACTTCAGTCTTTTCTGAGGGAATGGGCTTGGTTTTCAGGAAAAGGGAGTGTCTTCCTGACCCCGTCTTGAGGTCACTTATTCATTCAACAGATCTACATTTACTGCATGCCACATATGTGCCAACCCTGTGCTTGATGTTGTGGAAGATACAGAGCCATGTCAGTCAACGTCCCTGCCCTCAGGTTGCTTACAGTCCTGTAGGGGCTGTAAGACGTGGGATTGTAACCAACAGCATAAACCACAATGTGTTATGTGCCACCTTGGAGGGGAAGGCCCTAAGGCTCAAGGAGCCTCTGCCCCCCTGCAGTCCTGGGGGCAGTGGTGGCAGAGAAACGTGATCACAGAAAGCTGGGAAGGCTTTTGGGGGGGGGTGGTCTTCATGGAGGAGGCAGGCTAGGGCAAAGCCATAAAGCATGGGTAGGAATCCAATCTGATGTATGTCACTACTCGTTGGAAATTGGAGGATTTTGGGAGCAGCAAGAAGAGGCTGAGGGCTCTGTCCCTAGTCTCAGATTTCATGCTAGGGTGGGGCTGGCTGAGTTGGAACTTCAAACAAGGGCTCTGGAGAAAGCTCTGCACTGGGGTGAAGTGAGGCTGGTGGGGAGCTGGGCCAGGCCTGGGGGTGGCCTAGAGGGTACGGGAGCCTGACAGGACCAAGATCCAAAGTCAGATCAGGCCCCCCTCGTGGGTGGGACTGGTGCAGCCCTGCCTCCCTCTGCCCTGACTACTGAGAGCCCCGCACTGACACCTGCAAGCCTCTTTTCTCTGCTAGCATTGCAATGTCCTGCCTGACTTTGCCTCTTGCCTTTTCTGAGCCCTGCCCTCCATCCAGGTACCAAAGTGATGGTGACAGGAGGGCCTGGCTTTACTGTCTTTGAACACAACTGATGTGCCTGCTTACCTCTGCTAGCTTGACCTTCTCCAACTCTTCTTCCTCCTCCTTGCACATGGAGTACCAAGAAGAAAAGCCCCATCGATTCCCCTGGCTCACCTGCGACATCTTAGGAGAGCCAGGCCCCTTCATTTGAGGTCACCTCTTGCACTTACTGTCAGAGTTATGGTCACTATTGCAGTAAAGGCAAAATTAGAACCCTTGATACCCTGGGTATCCTGGATTTTCTAGGCAAGACTGGGACAATGGGCAAGAAGCCAAGTTGGTCTGTGTGTGCTCAAAGCAGGTTCTACCAAACCCCCTGTGCCCTCTTTCTTGCCCTTGCCCAGGGAAATAGCAAGTCAACCCTGATTTCTTGTAAGTTAGAATGCCAGACCGTCAAGGGAGTCCTTCCCCAAGATTTCTAGCTCTGGGTGGCTGTTCCTGGTAACTTGGCAGTGACCCTCAGGTCTCTGGAAGAGACCCTAGAGGCAGGAATTGGGACACAGATGCTCCCATTAGCAGGGACGCCTACGGGGACTGCTCCTGAACCAGTGAGGATCTTTCTTCTGCCTAGGCCAGCAGCTCAGAGGTCTGCTTTTGGGAGGTGCAGTGGGGCAGTGGCTCACCAGCTAACCAACCCTCATCATCACCCTCACCCTAGGGGCCTCATGGCTTAGGTTTGGATTTCACTGGGCATCAGAGGAATTGGTTGCAAACTCTTGAGGTGGAGAGTCAGTTCCTTCTCTTGCCAGACCACATTCCCCCTCCAGACACTCTGAATGAGTCACCCCCCCCACCTATGCCCCTGCACCCTGAGTCACCTTTTCTTTTAGGTGCCCCAAGGGAGGAAGAAAAGATTTATAATTTCCCTGGGCCCCGGATGGAGGAGGACCAGTGGGAGTCCCCAGGAGCTGTAGTTTCCCTAGAGATTTTGGGAGGAGCTATAGGGGAGAGGCGGGAAGGAGCAGAATGTGTCACTCCTCAGGCCACTAAAGACCTCCTAAGGGTATCCAGGGGAAGTATCTGATCTCGCCCTCTCCACTACCCCCTCTTGTTCTCCCTCCTTTGTTTCTAAGGGTGCCCTTCTCCTTTCGGGGGTATGGCCTGTGAAATGGGATATGTACATGCAGCCATATGTATGTTTGTAAACACTAGAGCTTACACTAGGGAAGTAGTCATGAGAGCGTTTTTGCACATTTGTGGGTGTGCCCTGCTTTATGAGCAAGTCTGTTCAACTGCATACTATATAGGTACTCCTGAGTACACGTCAGTGTGCATACAATTGTGCACCTATGCATAAGTACACACCTGTGAATAAGTACATGCAAGCATTTCCAGGAGCTGAAGCATGTTCTCTCCCAGCTAGAAACTTGGCATTTGTATGATAGGTCATGTGTAGGCCTGGCGCACATGGCTTTGGGGCTCCATCACACCAGCCAGCCTCCTCTCCCTCTCCCCAGAAGGGGAGGCCTTTACCCATTCGTCCTGGGGGAGGAGACTCTGGAGTCAAGAGGCCCCCTGAAGGATGGGCACATCTGGAGGATGGGCACAGGGGGCCAGCCCATTCTCTTCTTTCCCATCTTACTCCCAGCCTGGCTATGGAGCAGCCATGAATGCTTCTGGCTGGTTTACAGCCGAAAGACAAAACAAAAAACGTTTGATCCCCTGTTGAAAACACTACTACCCTGACCCTGACCCCAGGGCTTCCTTCTGGGTGAGGAGGGGCATCCTGGACTGGCAGCATTCAGATTTCCCAGGCTTCCCCAAGGAGAATCCCACGTGGTGGGCAGAACCTTTAGGCCAGCTCCTGGGCATAGGCTCTCCTGCCCAGCCCCACTCTGTTCCCACGCATTCTTCAGCCATGACATCCCCCGCCACAGGCCTCGCCTCCACAGAGCTCACCCACAGCCAGCCCTGGGCCTGTCCTGCCTTCCATTTGCCATGCCCTCTATCCTGCCCTGGTCCCACAGGCCAGCACAGTTCCAGGGCCTCTGTACTTGGAATTCAAGGTTCTGCTTCTGAGCGCCCTGGGACTACACTCATTTAGGAGGCCAGCATGGGTGAGCCAATATGCCCTTGGAAAGTGGAGGACTGGACTTGAGCTGATGGGGTTGTTATTGGGGTAATATTAGCAGTGGCCAGTTAGTGAGTGCTTACTCTGCTCCGGGCTCTGTGCTAGGTGTTTTATTTGCATACCTTATTTTACTCAGTAATCCTAGGAGACAGATTCTATTATTAGCTCCTTTTTCATGGAGAGAAAATTGAGGTTTAGAAAAGTTTATATGACTTGTCAGCTAGTAGTCGTCAAGCTGGGATTCAAAGACAGGTCTGTCTGACTCCAAAGGCCTTGGTTTTTGCTGCTGTGTCCAAATATGAGTCTAAATGTCTGGCCACACGTGTATATGATGACGCCTTTGGGTGCAGGTGTGTGAGCCTGCAGGGGCAGCATCTGTGCAAGGGCATGGGGGTGTTCATGTGGCATGCATGTGCCTGTGTGAAGGTTGGCATGGAGGAACCCACCACCCCCTCCTTGGAGTGTACTTCCCATCCTTTATCTTTGCTAAGGTCACCCTGGCATGTCAGTTGTCCCATCAATTACTGAGCCAAGGTCAGCAAGGGTGACTTTTTAAGTAAAAGAATCTTCCTCATGTGGAAGAGATTCCAGGCCACTTACAAACTGCCGACTTTGGGCAAGTCATTTCCCCCTCTTAGGCCCACCCAAGTGTTGTGATCTCTAAAGTCAGAGAGGTGGGCTGGAATCTGGCCTCTGGTTCTCTCTCTAGGAGTCTATAAAGGGACAGTTCAAGGCAAATGCATGGGTGGAATATGACTTAATGCACATGTCTTGAGTGGGCCAGGGTTCAATGAATGAATTAATGTGAAAGTACTTTATCAACTGGAAAGCACCACAGAAATATCAACAGTTATTTACATAAGCTGCCATTGTCACTATCACTGGCTAATGGGCTTGGAGTTTGCAATTGGTTTGTGTGTTGGAGCTTATGCATGTGCGTTTTTAGGTCAATCTGTGACTCTGTGTGTATTTTTTTGTGAATGTGTGTCTGAGTATCTGATTTTGTATATATGTATTTACACTATAAGTTCTTCAGAGGTGATGAACTTGTGTGCAGTGGGTCCCAGAAACAGGAGACCTGAGTTATAAATTCAGCCCTTCCAGTGACCAGCAGTGTGGTCTTGGTTAAGTCATTTCCCTTCTAGGCCTTGGTTTCCAGATCTTTAAAATGGAAGATTGGCCTAGATTACTGCTAAAGTTACTCCTACATTCTGTTGATTCAAGTCTAGGTCATATCTATGTAAGAGGATGTGTCTATAGGCATATATTTGCAGGCCTGGAGAACATCAACATCATATTTCACTCAAACAAATAGTATTGAGTGCCTTCCACCTGGAAGGGTGGGCAGGCGCTGCTTGAGTGAGCAGCGACGACTCCATGGCTTTGTACAGCTCTACTGGCTGGCCTGGTTGTGGATGTTCCCGTGTGTCTGTAGGAACACTAACCCCAGGTGTCTGATTCTGTGTGTGTGTCTGTGTCCACCTGGTGGGCCATCTGGGGAGGAGAAACCTGTGTGCAAGGCCTCAAGGTTAAAACAATTTGTGTAACGTTGCCTGCCAGGCCTGTGCAGAACTCACGATGAGAAGCAGATGTTGCCGTGGGTGGGGCTGCAGGGAAGCCGCTCTCTGCTCCGCCCGCTCAGCCTCCTGCCTCCCCCACCTCAGCCCAGCATGAAGCTCACATCTGAGCTCCTTCCAAAGCACCCGGCTCTATGGCTTCTGTTCTTCTTGCTCCCCCTTCTCAAAGGGAAGACTGTCCAGTTAGCACATCTCTCCAGAAACAGCTCCAGAAATCGAAATGGGCTATTAGGGGGTCTCTTTCCCCTCAGGCCTTTCTTCCTTCAGAGAAGGAAACTTGAGACTCAGAATAGGAGTCACTTGAGAACTGTTCAACTTTTTCCTCCTACCTGGGAAGCTCCCATTACGTGTCCTGGTTTCCTTAATATGCCTAGCTGTTCTAATTTGTGTTCAGATCCTCCCCCAGTTCAATTAACGTGGCATTTAAGTGAATAACCTTATGCTCAGCATGGTGTCAAGGTTATAGGTCCACAAAAGTAGCCACTCTACCATCTCCCAGCACCTGTCACTATTATTCTCTCTGTAGCACCAATCTCTCTCTGGAGGTATTTGCTTACTTGTATATGGTTGAAGGTTAGGTCCATGTGAGTCTGGAGTAGTGCCTGGCTCCCAGTAGGTGCTTACTAAGTATTTGCTTCAGGATAATGGAATAAATAACATGACTGTGTCCTCATCTGGTAGGGGCTAGGCATCAGCTTTGCTGGGATTCCAACTAGAAAGTGAGCAAGAGTCTCCAAGAGGTGCTCACAGCCAGTCCCCCACTGCCCTTCTTCTTCCTCGGAAGGTGGTTGAGGATTAAAGCTGCTGAGCGGCCCGTGGGGCAGGATCCTCAGTGCTGGGCAGGAGGACTCACTTGGCCCCCGGCCTCTTCTTTTCTCTCTAGCTGCCTTCCTTGGGGACATTGCTCTGGATGAGGAGGACTTGAGGGCCTTCCACGTGCAGCAGGCTGCGCATCTCAGACAGCATGCAATCCACAGGTCTTCCATCCAAGCTGCAGGTATATTTGGTGTGGGCTGGCCATCCTGTGTCCCCAAAAAGAGTTCCAAAATTGGAGAAACAAGGTACCCCCCTGTTCCCAGCCAGGGACAGAGGCCATGAGCTTGAATCCAGTGTAAGGGCTTGTCTTCCCTTGGCATATCTTTATCCCTTCCCCAGAGGGGTAGCAAGTGTAGACATACCCAGGAGCTAAGACCCAAAATTCTTTTGCTTACAGTTTACAAAATACTTTTGAAACATTATATAATTTGATTTTCCCCAATCATCTTCAAAGGTAGGTGTCAGGACAACTCTAGCTTTACGGATACAGAAACTTAAGACTCATGGAGGCAACATACTTGTTCAAGATCACATAGCTGGTCAGTGGCAGAACTGGGACAGGGACCTAAGCCTTCTCACTCCAAATCCAAGGCTCTTCACTGAACACCCCACTTCCTCCTGGCTTCTCCTCTTGCTCCCACTTTGCAGACTTCTGTGCACCCTTCAAGGCCCATCTCAAGAGTTCCTGTGAAATCTTCCCTGATCACCTCTCAGATGTAACGATACCTCCATGCACTGTGTTCTCTGCTTGATGCTTACACTGTTAGCATCTCACTCATTCAACCACATTGCAGTGATTTGTTTATATGTCTTTCTCCCTTGATGGACTCAAAGCTCTTTGAGGTCAGGGGTGGGTCCTTCTTATCCCTGTGTGTGGTCCAAGCACCTAATAACTCACCAGGCACTTGTGAATGGGTGAGGGAATGGGGAGAATGAGGGCCGGGGATGGCTCATTTCTGTCTGACCTTCTCACTGCTGTGGAACACAGGCCTGACCTCAGGGAGCTCTCCCATTGCACAAGGCTGGGGGTTCTCACCTGGGGCCTGTTTGGGTACACTGGTGGCACCAGGATGAGGGAGGATCATGGCATGGGCAGTCCGTACAGAAAAGGTCAAACTACTTCAGAAAGCAGCTGGCAGTGGAGAGTGACCAGGTCGTCTGGTAAGGCATACTTGCCCTTAGTGGGGTCTAGTAGACATGGCCTGAGGGGAAGCAGAATGGGGGAGTTGCATTACACAGACCTGCCACTGACCCATCCTATGACTTCGGGCATATCTTTGGCCTTAGCTTCCTCAACTGTCAAATGCACATAGTGACACTTGCCCAGTCCATCCTAGAGAGCTGCTGTGTCAAGTGTGAATGTGTACTTGGGAATACTTAAAGAAGACATCAAGTTCTGTATGATCTACAGACATGAAGGTTATTAGATGAGAAGGGAACATTTCCTCGTCTCAGATCCCCACAGTTTCTGGGGAGTGGGTACACCATTATTCTCTTTTCCAGTCACAGTTCATTCTCACCATTTGTGGCAGTTAAAAGCACAATTATAGAATAACATTAGTCTATAAAGTCACTGCAAATACTGAACAAGTTCATATGGAACCATTCGTTACTCCTAGGAGAAATACAGGGTTAGGTTCCTGAGAGCCTCTGGTCACATTTTCATCAACTGATTGATACGTAGCCCTGTCTTACGTGTGTTTCTGTTTAAAGACACCATGACTAACGTGTGATTGATTCATTAGCATTGAGCTCATGGCCAACAGCTCTGTTGCTCATGCCTGAACCAAGCTTATCTGATACACATATTTTCTCCATACAGTACATAGCAGCCTTGCTGGCCTTAGAACTCCAGACAGCACCATGGGGGGCAGCAGAACCTGTCGTTTTAAACAGTGAAGTCACCAGCAAAAAGCACAAAGTAGCAAAAACCATGGCACTAAATAGATTGTGAAAAAGATACTTATTTGCAGTGTGAGAGCTCAAACAAGGCCGAGTGTCACCTTGCTCCACCTCAGCTGGGAACCCCAATTTTTCAGTGCCCTGTGCACATCAGCAAAGTGACATAAAGGAACTGAGGGATTGATTTTTGGGCTCATGAGTGGGTTTTAGTGAGGGGACAAATATGGATTCCCCAAGTAATGAGGATGCAGTAGAATATGTTTCCCCTCCTCCCCTTCATTCACTTGCTACCATTGTCTTCCTCTTTCAATTCCAGGAAATTCCTCTACTGCCAGCGGCCAGAGCACTACTGGGCAGCCTCTGAGGACAAGCCGTGGGAGACGGAGAAGCAGGCCCCGGAGCCGGCGGGCAGCGACATCCAGACCAGAGCGTGTGTGGCCTGATGGGGTCATCCCCTTTGTCATTGGGGGAAACTTCACTGGTGAGTGTGATGTTGGGGGACCAGGGGAGCAGCCTGCATCTGAGCCTGGCTTTGGGGCAGCCCTGCTGTGCCTGGTGGTGTGAGTGGGGCCTGCGGCCTGTCTGTCCAACAAAAGGCTGCAGCTTTTTAGCAGTGGGCAGAGGAGGGCCCACCCGGATACCGTGACAGCCTGGCCGACTTCATCCGGCAGGCAGCCAGCGGGCAGTCTTCCGGCAGGCCATGAGGCACTGGGAGAAGCACACCTGTGTCACCTTCCTGGAACGCACTGATGAGGACAGCTATATCGTGTTCACCTACCGGCCCTGCGGGTGAGCAGCGGCCCCTGGGCACTGCACCCCCAGCCATTACCTCAACTCGCGTTCCGGTCTGAGCGCTGTGGCTGCCCCTTCTGGGCAAGGCCCTGTGTCATTTGTGCCCTCCTGTCATGGGGCGCTCCCCCAGAAACTGCCCCTGAGCGCGGAGCCCGGGCATCCCGCCCAGGTCCCTCACCGCGCCTGCGCTCCCCCGCCCCCCTGGCAGCCTGCCCGCCCCCTGAGTGGATGCACTCCCCCAGCTCGGGACCGCCCCCCTGAGCTGGCCCCGCCCTCCAGGTGCTGCTCTTACGTGGGTCGCCGTGGCGGGGGCCCGCAGGCCATCTCCATCGGCAAGAATTGTGACAAGTTTGGCATCGTGGTCCATGAACTGGGCCATGTCATCGGCTTCTGGCATGAGCACACGCGGCCTGACCGGGACCGCCATGTATCCATCGTGCGTGAGAACATACAGCCAGGTGCGCGTCTGACCTTGGCTGTCTGCTGTGCTCAACCGGGGCCCAGCCCCTGCGCCAGGGTCTCTGGTTGGGGTGGAAATTTCACCCTTGAGCCATTGCCTTTGGTCAACTCAGCATTATTGTCCCCGCCAGCTGGGTAGTTGCAGCCCCAGGAGAGTTGGCCCAGATGCTGCCCCTGAGGCATCTCCTCCGGGCAGGTCCATGTGGAACTATTTTAGGAGGCTGGGTCAGGACCTGGTCTGGACACAGGGGCCATCCAGAGCAGACAGAACCCAGCTGATCTCTGGCAGGGGACCGGGTGGTGTGGGGGGATGTGTTGGACCCACCCTCCACGCTGCCAGCATCCTCTTTACCTTCACACAGTCTCTGCTCTCTGCCTATTCTGTCCTCTAAGGGTTTTTTTTCTCCTGGCTGCCTCTCTCCCCTCCCCTCCTTCCTCCCTCCTCTCTCCCCAGGCCTCCTCTACTCTTCACAGCTTTCACCTCCCTGTGGCTCTAGAATGGGGTGTTTCCTTCCCTTACTCCCTTGAACTTCCCTCCAGCGAGTCCTCATCCATCCTGCCCCCTGCTGGAGAGACTCTTCTAGAGACCCACCCCTCCCCCCAGACTTCTCTTGGCCGCACCCGGACCCTCAGGTAGGGCGGCACCTTTCAAGCACAGGCAGGACCCATTCCTCACCATGAAAAGGTGACACTACCACCTGCACAGACCTGCCCCTCCCCGCCCCCCACCTCCTTCTCCTGATCTTCGCAGGGCAGGAGTATAACTTCCTGAAGATGGAGCTCCAGGAGGTGGAGTCCCTGGGGGAGACCTATGATTTTGACAGTATCATGCACTATGCCCGGAACACCTTCTCCAGGTGAGATGGGGCCCTGCCTCTTCTGGGGCAGCTCAGCCCTGCCCTCTGTGGGCCTCCTCTTTGCCCTAGCCTGCTCTGCTGCTGGGGCTGCCGTCAAGGACAAGAGTGGGCCTCTGGGTGCCTGTGGCCCCCAGCAGAAGACCCCGGGTGCTGCCTGCTTTGCTGTCTTTTCCCGTGTGGGGCCATGGCAGAGGCAGGACTCCCAACACCTAGGTTCTTCACCCAGTACTGTGCACACTGAGGGCACTTGGCCTAGGAGACTGACGCAGCCCCTCTGCAAGCCACGGCGTGTTATGGCTGGACTCAGGCAGGGAGCTGAGCCCTCTCCCTCATCCATTGGCCAAAGGGGGCACATTTCTCCTCATCAGGAGCATCCTTTTCTCATCAGTGTGCCTTTTTGTAACTGGCTAATTTGCAAATGTGGCTCCACCTGCTCCCTGCCCCCCAGTTCACAAGCACACACACACCTACTCCTCATCCTGGACTCAGGTTCCCAGGACTCACAGTCAGAAGCCCCAGAGGTGGTAGCCCAGCCTCCTCTACCCAAGCTTCCCCTTGGGCGAGTGGGAGATAGGCTCCCCCCACCTGGCCTTTCCTGTGCCTGTGCCTTTCCTCACCCTCTGTCTGGGCCCCCCGCTCTGTCCCAGACAGAGGCCCCCTCTCCTCCATTGCTCCTTCTAGATCCGCTCTTCCTGCCTCCAGACCTAAGGGAATAGAGACCAAGGAAGGGTGATGAGGTCATCCCGCCCCCCACACCCACACACCCACCCTGTACTTTCCCACCGCATCCCAACTCACCCCCTGTTGAGTTCCACCCAGCTGGGTGTGAGTCAGGGGCCCTGGGAGGTGGAGGGCCGTCTTCTGCTTCTGCTCCCAGATGGGAATACCCGGGATTTAGCGGGCAGGAACTGGGGGGCTAGGAGACCCTGATGGGCTGGGAGCTGGCAGGGCTGTCCCCAGTTCTGGTCTGGCCACAGTGGAGCCTGCCCTTTGGCCTTCTCCCAGGTGCTGTCAGAAGCAGCCGTGCTAGCAGGGTGAAGCGTTGGCCCTGGGTCATCCTGGGAGACATTTGGTCAGGGCTGAATCAGCATGAGGGGCCACAGAAGCAGGGGCAGGGAGGGGCCGGAGACATGATCAACTAGTGCAAAGCTCTCCTGGGGCCAGGAATCAGGGCCAGACTGAGACAGAGTACCAGTGGGCCCCCAGGGCATCCCGGGCCTGTGTCCCTGACCTCCCAAAGTGTTCCTGGGCTCCCTCAGGCTCCTGTGGTGTGGCTGCCACGGAGCAGGGTGGCTGCTGGTCAATGGGCAGCATAATGACAGGGTGAGATGTCCCCACCCATCCCTGACCCTGCTGAGGAATGTCTGCGCTCTGGCAGAGCCATGACTGGCGGTGTGCTCGGGCATGCCACCCCTCCTTCCATCAGACCTTCACCCAGGTCGGGCTTTTCCTTCTCAGGGGCATCTTCCTGGACACCATTGTTCCTAAGTACGAGGTCAATGGGGTGAAACCTCCCATCGGCCAAAGAACCCGGCTCAGCAAGGGGGACATCGCCCAGGCCCGCAAGCTCTACAAGTGCCCAGGTCAGGCAGGGAAGGATGGCCTGGGAGGGGTGGAGGGCAGGGCCTCAGGCAGGCAGAAGCCAGGCCTGAGGCCAAGAAGGTTTTAACTGTAAGTCTCATGGAAGGCTAGAGGCTGCCTGGAGTTGGGAGAGGGGTACCCCAGGAGGGCAATGTGCATGTTAGGGACCATACTGGGGCTAGGATCAGGTGGCAGTGAGAGGCTGAGCCCCCCACCTTCTCAGGGTCTGGGAGAGTGAGAGGCAGTAGGAAAAGGGGGGGCATGGAAATTCTCAGGGAGTGGGGTGCAGTGAGGCCCAGCAAAGGAGCTTAACCTTAACTCTGGAACCCATGTTGCCTTGACAACAAGGCATCCTGCAACACTAGGCTGGGAGGTGGGAAGGTGTGAGCTCATAGGTGAGAAGAAGGGAGTGGATCTTAAAGCTACAGGGCTGTCCCAGACTCCCTTCTCTTAGCCGCTCTTCTCTCCCCTAAAGGATGCCAGGGTTCAGGGTGTGGAAGCAGGAGGGTTGGGGGAATTGGCACCTACAGCCTGCAGCCCAGTCATACCTTCTTGTTGACAGCCTGTGGAGAGACCCTGCAGGACAGCACTGGCAACTTCTCCTCCCCGGAGTACCCCAACGGCTACTCTGCGCACATGCACTGCGTCTGGCGGATCTCAGTCACCCCTGGGGAGAAGGTAACTGAGCACCCCCTCCTCTGCCAGGGCCCCAGAGGAGGGGAGCACAGCCCCTGTGGCTGTGAGTGCCCTACCCGCGCACCGTAAACCCGTTCACCCCACAAGCACGACGGAGCAGTACAGCAAGGAGGGCTTCTCCCAAGAGCTGTAAGTGAGCACTTTTCTAAGTGCTTCTCTGTGTACTGGCTTCTCAAGTGGAATCTGAACCTCCTACGCACCCCTGGACCTTCCATGCCACCCTTCGTGCTTTTATTGCTAACAAGAGTCAGCTTTAAGATTTGATTTCTCTTGATTGGAGTATGGTACTTAATGTACTAGTGCAGTCTTGGACTGGATTTGACTATTACTCGGTCACATCATTCACTCCCAACAGCTCTCAAGGTCATTTTGCATCAGAATTCCACCATCCAGCAGGTAGCCTTCCCTCTTACTCTGCCATGAACTCATTAGGTAAACATGTCTTCTGGGTCTTCCAAACCTGGCCTTTAATCAAACTATTGAACAGGACACTAATCAAAGCAAATCCAAGATCTCCCTCTGAGCCGACACTGACCCGTTAATCTATAGGCCTGAGCGAGTTTATTCCACCAACTCTGACACCACTTGATGTCATTATCATCCACCTTGTTGACTGGGATGTGAACTGCTTCTGAGACCACACCTTACCGTCTTTATATCCCTGACACAGGGAGCAGTTAATTAATACTGAGTATGTAGATGGCTTGTCTGATCAAATCAAATCCACTGCTCCACCAATTGGTAAAACCCCCTTGTAAAAAGGAAATGACATTTGTCTGATATGCCTGTGTCAAGTGAACCCAAACTGGCTCCTCGTAATCAAGTATTTCCTTTCTAAATGGCCACAGATCCTCTGTTTAATTGGGGATTGGCAGTTAGCTCAGTGGTGTGCAGTTCCCAGAATCCACTCCAAACCCCCCTCCCAACACATGCCTGCAAACACGGACAAGCACACACACCCCTTTTGAGAACTGGGAAAGCTTTTGTTGTGAGTTCTCAGGATTACAGGCACTGATCACACTTGCAAGTTATTTGATTGTCCTCTGATGTCATTTTTGAGCCTAGAGATACAAGCCAATTTAAAGAGGTGCTCACTGACTCTCTCCTTTGATATTGCTGAGCTTCCATAGCCTTTCAATCTGTGCATATTTTATTTTTTATAATTTGAAGATCATTCTCATTTATGATAGACTTTTATTGATGATTGAGTAGTTCCATCATCTCTCTTGGTCAGCATTCTGCCATCTTCCCTCAAAAGTGAAATCTTCCTCTTTCTTCTTACTCTGAATCTAACTTAAAAAATCGCAGTCCCTCACAGTCTTGTACTGACTGTGCACTGGCTGCCTTCATTCCTCTGACGAGGGTCTCCACTACTTCTCAGCTTTTGGAAAGCTCACCACAGAGCCTAGCAACTATTGAGCATATAATTGGCCAGGAATGTGTTACATTCTTTATGTGTTATGTCTTTTAATGAACACAACAGTATTATAGGCTGGGTACTAATGTTATCCCCATTTTGCGTATGAGAAAACAAGCTGGGAACAATTAAGTAACTTGTCTAAGATCACCCAGAACCTGGATTATGACACAAATGTCTGTGATTGCAGTACACTGTGTACGTTAAAGCCCTGTCCCATTTCAACAATTACTGAGGTGCCCTTTAGCAAGCCTGTGTGCCCACTGTGTGCCCAGCACTGGAGACAGAAAGATGCACGAGGCAGTCCTGGCCCCAAGAAGCATACAGTAGGGTAGAGTGTTGCTTGCTTTCTTGTTCAGGTTTGCTCAGGTGCCAGGGGTACAGCAGTTTGGTCACGGGTCTGCTTCGTTCCCTGTGGCTCCGTGCTGGCATGGCCTTATCCCAAGAGCCTCTCTGAGCTTTGGGCCTGCTCCCCTTATAACTCTCAGAAAGCTCCCCAGCCTTTTCCAGAGGCTTCCTGGAGCTCCAGTGAGGGACATGCACTACAGGTAAAAAATCTCAGCATGGCTATAGAAATGCAAAAAAGTAGAGCCCATGTACGGTCCTAGGTGAAATTGTTGAGTGGTCAGTGAGCCCAAGATGGAACCCTGGGGGCAAAAACTTTCAAGGGCCTGCAGAGGCTGGGGAGCCAGGAGAGGGTGGCATCATTTGTTATCTAAAAATTTACATGCCAGGCAAAGTCTTAGGCATCTTATATGCATGATCTCATTGCCCACAGCAGTTCTGTGACGTGAGTACTGTCATCCCAACAGTTCAGCTGTGGGGGTTGAGGCTCAAAGGTTGTGAGTGAATCTGCCCACGTTGACATAGTAGTCGTGGTAGAACCAGCATTCAGTTCCAGGGCTTCTGACTCCAAAGTCTATACTCTTTCAACAGTAAACCTTAAATTCACCTTCGTAGCTGGTGGACTTTGACATCTATTTTGGCTGCTGAGAGATTGTTTTTCACTTGGTTTCCAGTTCTAAGCTTATGGCCAGAAGTGTGAGTGATACATAAATCTTATGTAACACAATTATGCAAGTCAGGGGTATGTCAGAAAGAAAAAGAGCCTCTCTGGAAGGCTTCTGCTAGGATCCCCAAGTCTCTACCCTGCAGATAATTAGCAGCTGCTCTGAAGAGGATTTACAGTGCTTCCCAAGCAATGAAGCCAGCTTCTTTAGGAGGAAAAAAGTGGTTCTAGAAAAAGATCATGGTCAAATGTTGCAATGGAGCCAAAAAGATAAGAACTTAAAATGTCTTTTGGTTTTGGCAGTATACACCCTCATTTTCATCCTTGCCTATTCTTCAAGCTCCAACCCAAATTCCACCTCCTGTCCACCAGCTGGGCAGGGACCTTCTCTCCAAGGCCTGTGTTGACCTCTCCCCTGAGACCCTGCTCATTCTTTGCACAGCTGTTAGGCAAAATTGATTGGCAGGCCCAGGGAGACCACATGGGGTGCTGGTTAAGGTTGTTAAGTTTGAGAGCCAGAGTGTGTGGGGTAGATGCTCAGGAGGCTATTTACTGGATATATGATCTTAGGGAAATTGCTTAACCTCTCTGTGCCTTTGTTTCCCCATTTGTAAAACAGAAAAGTTAATGCCTAGAGCAGTGCCTAGCACATAGTGGGAATTCAGGCAGTGTCAGCTGCTATTATCATTCTGTGTGTTTAATCTAGTCAATGAGTAAGTGCTGGTCAACTTCCCTGGGAACCCCACTTGCCTCCCTCTACTTCTAGGACTCTGGCATGAACCATTTCAAACATCAAAATATCTTAAGCAAACTCAGCTCCAATAGTGACATTAACTTTTTGAGTGGCCTGCACTGTAGTATGTGTGCATGACATGTATATATGTTGTATGACACATACAACTTTACATATGTTAATTTAACTAAGTCCTACAAGGCAGGTACTATTACCATTACCACCTTACAAATAAGGAAATGGAGGCCCAGAGGATTAAACAACAGGCCTAAGATCATGAAGCAAGGCCAGACTGAAGCCAGACCTTGGGTCCCCAAGGGTGGGCGTGGGCTCTCAGTTCCTCCCTGAGAGCATCCGCCAACCGTGAGGAGTTCTCCCCACATGCCAGGTGTCCTTGGAGACCGTACCGAATCTCACTGAATCTCCCAGCTCCCAGTTCAGCGGTGACTGTCACCTCCGTTTTTCAAAGAAGTTAAGCCATGGGCCCAGAGTCACTAGCCTGGAAGTGGTGGAGCTGGCCACATTTCCTTTGGCAAAGGGCAGCTCCCCTGCCACCAGAGCACACACAGCTCCTTCCACATGACAGAAGTTGTTACAACTCTTAATTAGACACGTCCAGGGTGTCACAGCCAGCCATGGCTGTCCCTCCCTGCCCGTGCTCATCACCACCAGCACAGGTCTCTTCCTCCTAAGTGAGGTGACCTCAGGTTCCTCTTGCCCTATAGGAGGTCTTGGGGGGCCCTTTGGGGTTCCACCAGCTGAGCCTGGCTTCTCCCCCAGAGGGTCTGAATCCATCCGCCCGGGGTTGTTTCCGAGGATGGAGGGAGAGTCTCCGCTTGGTGCAGTGGCTAGGCACAACTGATTGGCAGGCCCAGGGAGCTGCCCCGAGTAGTGGTTTCTGGTGCAGGTTTAGACGCTGGAGCGCCCTCCGTGGCCCTCTGCCTTTCTTCCATCCAGCAACTCTTTTATAAGATATTTTTGTTGTTTATTAGATATGAAGATAACATATCCATGTCATAAAAATTTTGAATAGTATAGAAATGTATAAGGTATAAAGTGAACATTCGCCCTTTGATCCTCCTCCAAATCCCAGTTCCCAGAGGGGGCCAAGCATTGGCAATACTTGGTATGTCCTCCCACGCCCTTCTAGGAGCACGTGTATGCATATGTGTGTGTACATGGTCTCTGCAACTTGGTTTCACTCAGCAATAAATCGTGGTCATCCTGCCGCGTCAGCACGTGTAGATCTACCTGTTTTCTAGACCAACTGTTTTCATGGCTGCTTCTCACACCATCATCTTGATTGCCCCTGAAGGTCTCTGTGGGTGGATGTTTGATTTTTTCCCAAAGTTTTCATTACCGAAAATGCTTACGACAAATATCTAGAAAATTCACATCTTTATTTACTTGGACAAGTGTATCTGTAGAATAGGTTTCTAAAAGCAAGATTTTATTAAAGAAATATTTATTAAGCAACTAGTATGTGCCATGCACTGAGGATTCCATAGCGAGTTAAAATTCCTGCCTTCATAGGAATTTTACACTTTTACATTTTGATGGTGGTAGGGGATATAGACAATAAATAAAAAAAGTAAATGCGGTAGGTTAGATGGTGGTAAGTATTTGGGAGGAAATCAGCAATAGGGGGTAAGGGAGTGAGGTGGGTGGTGGTTACGGATCCAGGTGAGATGATCTGGGAAGGCCTCATTTGGTGATTTGGAGCAAAAGTGGACAGGGAGTGAAAAATACACCAGGCGGGTAGCTGGGAAGAGCTTCTAGGCAGCAAATACAAAGGCCCTGAGGCAGGAGCAGGCTTGGTGTGTTTGAGGACCAGCAAGGTCAACATGGCCAAAGAGAAGTAAGCAAGGAGGAAAAGGAAGGGGATGGGACCAGCGAGATAACGGGAGTCAGATCATCAGTGGCCTTTGAGGCCATGGTGAGGACTTCAGATCTTACTCGGAGTCACCTACTGTAAAGGATTCAGAGCAGGGGGCAGTTGAAATCAAACATTCCTCCAATATTAGGTAAACATCTGATGAGTCCAGAGGCTGAAATGAGTTCCTGTACCCGTGAGGTGACCCTCCTCACTTTATGCTGGAGGTTGTTGAAGTTCAGAGAGGCTGAGTGATTTACTCAAGGACTCACAGCAGAACGTGCAGAGGCCCCTGTGTGTGGAGTCTGAGTTATTTCATGAAGTGAGCTTTCCATGCATATGTCTTAACCTCCTAAGACCTACAGCTCCTTCACAGGGACGCATGTACCCCACTAGCCAGAAAGATTCAGACCTGGGCTTGCTCTCAACAGTTACCACAACCCCCTGCCTGGAATCAGCATTCGGTAACTATGTGATGATGGGTGACTCAGCCTTTCTTTCTTCTGCCTGTCCTCTCTGGACCCTAGCATCCATTACCCACATGCTGCCCTGGGCCCTTCCTGTCAGCTGAGGAGACCCCTTCCCTCTGAAGGTGCCATGATTTATATTAAGTCCTTGTTTAACCAAAGCAACAATTGCTTATGAAGGGGATCAGCAGAAGGAGACCCATGGTCTCACACCCATGTGTAATGAGGCCGTGCGTTTCGATGAGGATGGCCTGGGTACTTGGGGAGCATGCTGGTGGCAAATGGCAGGTGGCTGGGGAGAAGAGACTTTTCTGTGCAGGAGCTCCATTCTATATAGTTTGAGCTATTTATTACCTATAGCAAGCTGCTTCGTGTAAGACACAGCAGGCATGGGGCCAGCGGGGAGCCCAGGGAAGTACGGGGGGGCAGCGTAATGCTCATCCACCTTTTCCCCCAGATTATTCTGAACTTCACGTCCATGGACCTGTACCGCAGCCGCCTGTGCTGGTACGACTATGTGGAGGTTCGAGATGGCTTCTGGAGGAAGGCGCCCCTCCGAGGTAATGCAGTGGCCCTGCCCGGCAACTGACTTCTCAGAAGAACTCGCACCACCCTCTCCTCATGCTTCCCCAGGACCCGATGCTTGGCCAAGGGCAAAGCCCCGGCGCGGGCACCAGGACTCTGCAGTTAGTGCCTAGCTTGTTCAGTGGGTCACTCTGGGCAAGTCTCTTCCCCACCCGGACCTCAGGGTCCTCCCTGGGGGCTTCAGACCTCTCAGTGGGTGGCTGGCTGTGTACGGGTGGGAGGAATCAGACAGGCTGACAGAGGCAGATGGACAGGCGCAGCTGCCCAGCTCCAGGCTCTCTTCTCCATCTGGGCAATTGTAGAGGCTCCTGTTCTCTGTCTCCACGGTCGGCTTGAGAGGGCCCACCGTGCAGCCTGGCGCACCACGGAGGGCTGTCTAGCCGGCACAGTGGCCCAGACATGTTTGCACAGATGCTTTGTCCCTGGTCATGGGGGGATGAGTCAGTAGGGGGTTCAGACCCACAGGATGAAGAGTGCTTTAAGGGACACAGAGTTAGGGTCAAGAGAGTATTTGCTGCAAGCCTGAGGAGTGGTATAAATTCTCCTTCCCCAATCTGGACAGCAACCTCAAGATTGCTCATGACCATGAGAACCTTTGTCCCACAGCCTGCGCCTGAAGCAGGCTGATGAATCCTTGCTCACCCTCTTTTCTCCCCCCATCAGTTTCTGATACGGGAATATTTCTCATTAGTCACCCAAAGCAGCTGCCATTACGACACTTCCTCCTGCAGACGTGTTAGTGTTTCCAAGATTACAGTTTCTTTTTCATAACTTACATTCCTACGTCCGTACCCTCTGTCCCTTGCTGAAACTTGGGACACACCCAATCTCATTAGGAATATACAAATCATCCGTAGTTGACTTTTGACCCCAAAGGATTGTACAGATGGCCAGCCTCATCAGTTTATGTGGATTCTTGTTGGGTTTTATTTCAAAGAGGACATTTTCTGATCCCATCCCCAGATTCTGGGATTTATCTGAGGCCCTGTGGCATCCCCAGCATTTGAGCAAATGAAACCATTTTGTAATATACAAAGAAAACTGTGTGGGTCTTCATTATGAAATGTTTGCATGGAGATAAATAAGAAAAGATAGATAATGATGGTAATATGCTCTTTTAAAAATACAAGAAAACCACACATTTGGTTATTGTGAGGAGCCCCCTTTCCCCCCAGAAGCAGACTCTTATTCTAGCCCTCAAGTACAGGAAATCCTTCAGAAGTGCTCTCTGGTTCTTCTGGTTCTTCAAGCTAGACCTTGGGCCAGAGGCGGGCCGGCTGGAGGGCATGTGGTCTTGGGAATGTATGCCCAGTGCGGGCCTAGGCCAGAGCCCCCAGTGCCCTGGGGAGGTGGGGTGACTTCCTGGAGGTACAGCCCTGGTGTGAGAAGGGCAGAGGGCCTCACTTCAGGCCTCACTGCCCTTCTGTTCATGCTGTCTGTGTAGGCCGCTTCTGTGGGGCCAAACTCCCCGAGCCGATCGTCTCCACTGACAGCCGCCTCTGGGTTGAATTCCGCAGCAGCAGCAACTGGGTTGGGAAGGGCTTCTTTGCGGTCTATGAAGGTACTGAGGAAGGAGGGCGGGGGAGAGCCCTGGGCATCCGAGAACCACTGGCTCCTGGCTCCCCAGGGAAGGCCGAGGGCCCACGAGGGAGGAACCCTGGTGGAACTGGCCAGGGCGGGCACTGAGAAGGGGGACATGGGAAGGGCTGGAGGAGCAAGAAGGGCTCCAGAGCCGGGAAAAGCCTTCTGATATCCCCCTTTCCCGCATCACCTTGTGTCCCCAAAGCCATCTGTGGGGGAGACGTCAAAAAAGATAACGGGCACATCCAGTCGCCCAATTACCCAGATGACTACCGGCCCAGCAAAGTCTGCATCTGGCGGATCCAGGTGTCCGAGGGCTTCCACGTGGGCCTCACCTTCCAGTCCTTCGAGGTAGGTCAGTCCACCAGAATCCAACCCTTTAGTGACAGCCTACCTGTCCGTGGGTTTGGGGTGCCAAGTCCTCCACCTGCTGATCAAGCCTCCACCCCCAGATTGAGAGGCATGACAGCTGTGCCTATGACTACCTGGAGGTGCGTGACGGGCACAGTGAGACCAGCACCCTCATCGGGCGCTACTGTGGCTACGAGAAGCCGGATGACATCAAGAGCACATCCAGCCGCCTCTGGCTCAAGTTCGTCTCTGACGGGTCCATTAACAAAGCTGGCTTTGCTGTTAACTTTTTCAAAGGTGCCTCCTTCCCATCCCCCCACCCCACCTACCCCCGGACAATCCATCTCCTTCATCCCTTCTCTTTATTTTTTAAATTGTATTTGATTGTGGTAAGAATGCTCAGCATGAGGTCTGCCCTCTGCACACATTTGTGAGTGTACAACGCAGCATTACTGACCCAGGCCCAAGTTGGTACAGTGGATCCCTAGAGCTTATTCATCTTGCTTGACTGAAACTTCAAGCCGTTGATTAGTGACTCCCCCATCTTCCCCTCCCCAACCCCTGGCAATCACTATTCCACTCCTTATTTCTATGAACTTGACAATTTTCAACACCTCATTTAAGTGGGATCATGCAGTATTTGTCCTCTGTCACTGGCTTATTTTACTTAACATAATGTCTTTAAGATTCATCCATGCTGTCACATATGGCAGATTTCCTTCTTTTTTAAGGCCGAGTAGTTGTCCATTGTCTGTATGTATCACATTTTTTCATTGGAGAATAACTGGCATACAATCTTGTATTCATTTCAGGTGTACAACATAGTGATTCGGTATTTATATATATTAAGAAATGGTCACCACAGTAAGTCTAGTTACATTTGTCACCATGTAAAGTTGTTATAATATTATTAACTATATTCCCCATGCTGCATACATTATGCCCCCTTGTCTTATTTATTTTACAACTGGAAGATTGTGCCTCTTAATCCCCTTTGCCTATTTCATCCATGCCCCCAGCCCCTCCCTTCTGGCAACCACCAATTTGTTCTCTGTATTTATTAGTTTGTTTCTATTTTGTTTTGTTTGTTCATTTTGTTTTTTAGATTCCACATATAAGTCAAGTCTTACAGTATTTGTCTTTCTCTTTCTGACTTATTTCACTTAGCATAATACCCTCTAGGTCCATCCATGTTGTTGCAAATGGCAAGATTTTCTTCTGTTTTATGGCTGAGTAATATTCCATTGTATATGTACCACATATTCTTTATCTATTCATCCTTTGGTGGGCACTTAGGCTGCCTCCATATCTTGGCTATTATAAATAATGTTTTGATAAACATAGGAGTGCATATGTCTTTTTAAATTAGCGTTTCCATTTTATTTACTTTAGATAAATACTTAGGAGTAGAATTAATTGTTGGGTCATATGGTAGGTCTGTTTTAAAGTTTTTGAGGAACCTCCATACCATTTCCCGTAGTGGCTGCACCAATTTACATTCTTACCAACAGTGAACAAGGGTTCCCTTTTCTTCACATCCTTACTAACACTTGTTATTTCTTGTCTTTTTGATAGTGGCCATTATGACAGGTGTGAGGTGATATCTTGTGATTTTAATTTGCATTTCCCTAATGATTAGTGATGCTGAGCATCTTTTCATGTGTCTGTTGTCCATTTTTAATGTTTCCTTTGGAAAAAAATGTCTCTTCAGGTATTTTGCCCACTTTTAGTCAATTAGTTTTTTTGACATTGAGTTAAAATTCAAATCAATTTTTTTGTATTGAGTCCTTTATATATTTTGGATGTTAACCAAAATTGAAAATACCTTCCTCCCATTCAGTAGGTTGTCTTTTTATTTTGTCGATGGTTTCCTTCACTGGACAAAGGCTTTTTAGTTTGATGTAGTCCCACTTGTTTATTTCTGTTTTTGTTACCTTACCTGAGGAGGCAGAGCCGAGAAAATATTGCTAAGACTAATGTCAAAGAGCTTTTACTACTTATGTTTTTTTCTAGGAGTTTTATGATTTCAGATCTTATATTTAAATCTTTAGTTCATTTTGAGTTTATTTTTGTGTGTGGTATGAGATAGTGGCTAATTTTTTTTCTTCTGCATGTGACTGTCCAGTTTTCTCAACATCATTTATTGAAGAGACTGTCTTTTTTCCCATTGTATATTCCTGTCTCCTTTGTCATAGATTAATTGACCAGATAAGTATGAGTTTATTTCCAGGCTTTCCATTCTGTTCCATTGGTCTGTGTGTCTATTATTGTGCCAGTACCATACTGTTTTGATTACAATAGTTTTGTAGTATAGTTTGAAATAGGACATGTGATACCTCCAGCTTTGTTTTTCTTTCTCAAGATTGTTTTGGCTATTCAGGGTCTTTTGTGGTTCCAAACATTTTAGGATAATTTATTCTAGTTCTGTGAAAAATGCCATTGGTATTTTGATAGGGATTGCATTGAATCTGTAGGTTGCTTTGCGTAGTATGGACATTTTAACAATTTTAATTCTTCCAATTCTATATCATGTTTTTTTTATCCTCATCCATTGGTGGACATTTAGGCTGTTTCTACATCTTGGCTCTTGTGAATACTGCTGTGATCACTTCTTCTTCACTCACCTATTCAACACAGGGACTCTTGGAGGGGTGCATAGACCCTGGTGCCCTGCCCTTGAGTTTAAGGCTCAGCTGAGGAGAAAAGGGCAATCCCACTGAAAAACTGTGTACCTCTTTGAGTAAATGACAAACTTGTGTAAAAGCAGCTGACACATGGTAGGTGCTCAACTATGAGTTGAAATAACAAGTCAGGATTTGCCTAGAAATCAAAAAGTTTGCACAGAAGAAATGCTGATGAGGCATAGAGGCAGGAAGTGCCATAGAAGCTTAAGGAGGAAGCAAGGCAGCATGGATTTTTTTTTTTTATCACCAAAGTAACCTTGGGCGGGGCAAGCTGCCTGAACCTCATTTCCTCATCAGTGAAATGGGGATAGTAATCGTGTCTCCATCTTAGGTTTCATGTGAGGACTGAAGGAGAAATGAAGGAGTAGTACTTAGCCAGGAACAGCACACAGGAGGCACCCGTAAATGGTGGTGCCACCAACCCAGCCAGTACGGTTGGAAGGAAGGCTCTGTGGGGTCCACCTGTCCCCTCCTTCAGGTCACTACCTGTCCCTTTGGGCTCTCACAGGTGGCATCCCCTGGGGACCAAGTGGGCTTCTGAGCAGCAGCGGAGGGCTGGGTGGGCCACAGCCTTTGAACTGGGTGGCTCACAGCTGAGTAATCCCCACGCATGGGCGTGGGGGTGGTCGCAGGACCCTGGGCTTGACTCTCCACCAGGGGATAGGAGGAGGGACTCGGGGCCTGGCCTGGAAGCCGCTGATGCCCTTTCCTTCCAACCGGCAGAGGTGGACGAGTGCTCGCGGCCCAACCGTGGTGGCTGTGAGCAGCGGTGCCTCAACACCCTGGGCAGCTACAAGTGCAGCTGTGACCCTGGGTATGAGCTGGCCCCCGACAAGCGCCGCTGTGAGGGTGAGCGCCCCCCAGCTGCCCTCGCCCCTGTTCCCTCCCCAACCCCAAATGCTCCAGCTGAGATCTCCTTTGCCCAGGGAAGCTAGGATTGCCCAGCACCTCCTTTGACTCCTGGATGGGGTGTGTGCCTATCATGGCCCCGGAGCACACCGTGATGCACTCTGCCATTTCCTTTCCTTCTTATTCTCCTTAAATGCTGATCTTGACCTGCCGTTGATTTCATCACCCACCATAAGGTCATGACCCACAGTTTGGAGACCACTGTTCTCAGAGAGGCACTGAGTTTCAGCCTGTCCCCAAACCTTTCTGCTTAGATGCCGGGGCAAGCACCCTCTGGCAGGCTGGTCCTGTGCAGGCTGACTCCCTGTGGCCTCTCTCTGCTCCCCTCTGAGTGGTTCCCTCTCTGGGCATCTGTCCGCTGCCACGCCACCTTCCTTGAGGCCCTCACTTGCTCTGTCCCTCTCGGTAGATGCCCTGGTTCATTCTCTCAAAGAGAAAACAGAATTGGCCCCACAATGGCTCCCCAACTTCTCATGCTCTGAAGATAGCCCCTCACTTCCTCCTCTTCCCACCCTGAGAGACCAGACACTAGCCCCAGGGCTGCAGGGGTCCACAAATCCCCTTGCCCCCCATAATGCACCAGCCCACATATCCTGCCCCTCCCTGGAGCAGGCCTCCAGGCGGGTGATGCCTCCTCCCTCTCCCTCCAGCTGCCTGTGGCGGATTCCTCACCAAGCTCAATGGCTCCATCACCAGCCCGGGCTGGCCCAAGGAGTACCCCCCCAACAAAAACTGCATCTGGCAGTTGGTGGCCCCCACCCAGTACCGCATCTCCCTGCAGTTCGACTTCTTTGAGACCGAGGGCAATGACGTAAGTGCCCACAGGGGACGAGGCCATGAGGAAAGTGTGAGGCATGGTAGCTCAGCCCAGTACCTGCTTCCTACCCTTTGGAAGAAAATCTCAAGGAAGAGAGGCTGCTTCTGACTCAGCGAAGCAGGGGGAGGATCAGGAAGTAGGGCCTTGAAGGCCAAGGAGCAGGTGGGAATGAAGGACATGGAGTAGGGAGGCCTGTGGGGCCAGGCAGGATTGAGGCTTGTGTGGGAAGTGCAGGAGGATCCCATGGGGGCAGGGATGGCACCTCTTGGAGGTTAGATTTTTGTAGAGCAGGTGACTAAAGGCAAAAGACCCTTAGAACAGGGAGCCTCCCCAGGCAGGGATGGTCAGGAGAGGCTTCCTGGCAGAGGTGTGCTGGAATTGCACTGCCCTGCAGGTGTGCAAGTACGACTTCGTGGAGGTGCGCAGCGGACTCACAGCCGACTCCAAGCTGCATGGCAAGTTCTGTGGCTCTGAGAAGCCCGAGGTCATCACCTCCCAGTACAACAACATGCGTGTAGAGTTCAAGTCTGACAACACAGTGTCTAAAAAGGGCTTCAAGGCCCACTTCTTCTCAGGTAATCTCAAACTCCCCAGCTCTGAGCCTACCTCCCCTTCTCCCTGCCATTGCACCTCTGCACCCCCCAGCCTTCCCTGGGGCCAGCCGGGAGGGCTGTCCCCTGCTCCCTCCACTAAGCCTCCACTGCCAGGCCAGCCCCTGCTTACTGAAGCCCCAGTATTCCTGAGCTCTCTGGGCAGTAGGGGAGCCAGCTTGAGGCTGGGCAGGACCTGGCATTCAGAAATGAAGGGAGAGGGCATCAGGAGCAATGACAGCTGAGGCCTGAGAGAGGGCGGGCCCTGGGAGTTCAGCAAGGTCGGGAAACATGAGGTGCCTGTTTGCATTGGACCGTGTGGGCCAGATGATCTGGCGACAGCTGGATCTCTAACAGACCTTACGCATGCCAAGTGGGTTAATGCCAGGCCTTCAGGAAAGATGGCAATGAGCCTCCCTCCCTTCAGCAACAAAGCCTCCCCTTCCCCTTGGCCTAGCCTGGGTTGGGGACTCAGATCCAACCAGCTACCCCATGTAAGACTTCAGGTTGAGGCCTTTGATCCCATCTCTGGGTGGTCTGAATAGCAGTCAGCAGCCCCCAGCCCAATCTCTCCAAGAAGAACCTCCAGGGTCCCAGGAGACCTCTCTCCTGCTCGCCTGGAGATAGGGTGGGAAGTGGCTGTGGTCTTCCAGTGGCATTAGGACCCAGGACACAGGCAGTGCAGGGTGGGAGCCCCTGGAATCCAGCGTGGGGGAGAGTGGGAGGCCAGCAGGCTTCCTGGAGCAGACTGTTCTGTTGGGGAGTGGCCCAGAGATCCTCAGCCTCCGCACGCCTGGTGGGCTGGGTGTGGGGGGGCAGGAAGACAGGAAGCCCACGGCCGAGTCCACGCTGCCTTCCTTCTCCCCTCCTTTGCCCAGGGTCCTGCATCCTCAAGCCCCCTATGCGGCTGCCCTGCACCCCTGCCTGCCCCATCGGGATGCCATGCACTGCCCCCAGGCACTGGTTCCCTGCTTGGCGCTGCCAACTACCCTGCTCTGCTTAACGTGCCCCACAGCCCCTGCCCCCTTGCTTGCTGAGGCCCTACTCTTGCCATGCGAGTCCCCTTCTTCCTTGTGCCTGCCTAGAACCAACAAGGTGTTCACCAGAGGGCCACGGGGACCTAACACCCAATCAGGTGGGCTTGGCCCGGGACACCATTACCTGCTTACTCTTGTCTCTTTCTGCCCTTCTGTTGCTCCAGTCTTGGAAGGGGAGGGAGCTGACATCACATCTGTCAGGCCTAAAGCCCACGGCTCTCCACCCACAATTACTGCCCTGCCCTGGCATGACACTGTGTCCATTCCCCAGACCTGCACAGAGACGCACCCACTCATGCACACCGCACACACGCCCTACCCTGCTGCACACGACACCTGCAGAGGGCCCTCACCGGGGGCATCAAGGTCCAGCCCTCAGGGCATGGGGCATCTGACTCTGGCCCCCCAGGAGGGGGGCTCTTTGGACTTTTGGGACACCCCGCGAGGACACCCTAAGCCAAGGAGGAGAAGAAAAAGCCTGAGGACCTTCAGTCTGACCCCAGCCACCTTCCGGGGCATTGGGCACTGGAGGGTGAGTGCCATCTCCTTGTCCGGGCCCATGCCCACCCCCCTGCTCCTGCCCCGCCTGCAGCCTGCTCCCCTGGCTCTAAGGTGAGGCTGCCCACTCACACCTGACCTGTGTCAGAGCCCTGCCCTGGGACCCTGCAGCAGGCCTTCCTCTCACTCGTTCATCCAGCCACTCACTACCCATCCACCTACTCACGGAGCAAGCACTTCTTTGACCCCTACTACATGCCAGGCACTACACTAGGAATTTGGGGTCAAAACATTTCAGGGAATCTTAGCTCAGTCTATGAGCTGAGACCCCTGCAGCTCCCAGCAGTCACCATTGAGTTCCTCAGTGAACCCCAGGATGGGTTGTAGAGCTCCCCTCAGCCCCACTTTCCTTCAGGGCTACTGCCAAGGCAGCTTTCATGGGGCCCTCAGGCAGGGGCCCCTAACTGAGAAGGAGCCCTGGGGAAGGGACTTGGGGATTGTACTTTTTGGCCAGTGTTCCTGCGGACCCCAGGGGTTCTGATCCACCTGAGAATGCATGGGAGAAGCAGGGTCTTCAGGGAGCCAGTGCCCCAGCCCTTAGGCCCCTCTCCTGATGGTCACCAGGACAGGTCCTCCACTTCTCACAGACCCCACCTACCATTTGAATGCCATCAGGCATCCTTCTATCTCCCAGTGCACCTCTGGAGTTCTGGCTATCCCTTTGAGCCATACATTTCCCCTGAATCCTGCCTCTGCCAGGCACACAATCTCCAAGCCCCCAGACCAGAGAGTATGTGAGTGTGACACATACATGCCTGTAACCATGTATTTCTCTGTCAGTGTATATGTTCTGTGTTCACGGGAGTGTGCATGTGCAGGCTGACCCGAGTGTGAGCAGCAGCACGTGTGAGCATGCTGGAGCCCACAGGTCTGCTGCTGAGCCTGTGGTCTCTTCATTTATGTGTCTTTATACCTGTGTAGGATCTCCCAAGTACCTGCATGTGCAGCTGGGCCTGTGTGTGTACTGTGTGTGCTTCCTCACACACATGCAGGAGTGAGCAAGTACTGCATGTGTACACGGTTGGGTGGATGGCTGATAACTGTGAGTGCATGTGGTATCTGAGTGTCTGCCCATGTAGTTGTGTCTGTGGGGGGTGGGGTAACCTGTGCACATGTATGTGTATACCTGTGGGTCAACATCTGTGCTGCCATGTTGGGTGACAGTACATCCTTGAGGGGGTCCTGTGTCTGTGGATGTGTTGGTGCGAGTGTGTGTCTAACACACTCTACAGCTGCAACAGCCAGAATGAGGGATTGGAGCTCTCCAGGAGGCCCACCCCTTCCGTGGGCTGCTCCCCTCCCCTCCCTCTGCCAGTGTGGGCCTCATGCGCCCTGCGGGCCTTCTCCTGCTGCAGGCTTCCACCCGTTCCCGTGGCTGTGCCTCTCTCCACATGCTGCCCACTTGGCCTGGCTGTGCGGACCTGGCCGTCCTGCATGTGTGCCCCTGCTGCCTTCCCACCCTGCCCGTGGATCTGCCTCCTAGGCCCAGGCCTGGTGTTCATGGCTCTCCCTCCCTGGTCCCTGCCCTCCACCCCCACCCCTCGGTCCCTTTTCTCCTTCTTTCTCTCGTTTCAGAAAAGAGGCCAGCTCTGCAGCCCCCTCGGGGACGCCCCCACCAGCTCAAATTTCGAGTGCAGAAAAGAAACCGGACCCCCCAGTGAGGCCTGCCAGGCCTCCCGGACCCTTTGTTACTCAGGAACCTCACCTTGGACAGAAGGGGATGGGGGCTTCAGTGCCCGCCCGCCCACCACCTCCGCTCTGCCATTCCGGCCCAGGCCTGCCTCCCTCTGGCCGGACAGAACTGGTGCTCTCCTCTTCCTGGCCCCGCACGTGGACAGGGGCCTTCCCCACCCTCACCCCTCCCTTTTTGATGGTGTCTGTGACATTTCCTGTTGTGAAGTAAAAGAGGGACCCCTGTGTCCTGCTCCTTTCTCTTGCAGTCTGCTTGTCCGTGTGTCTGTTTTTCCACTGTCCGTCTGTCCAGTAAGCAGGTAATGGTAGAGGGTCCCATGCTGGTCAGCTCCAGACCCCAGGCCTCCCTCCACAGCACTCCTACCTTCTCTCCCCACAGCTGGGCCCCGCTCGGCCGGCTCCGCTTGATGCGCTGCCCTGGACCCCATCACTGCCTTTGCTCTCTCCCCGGCCAGCCCCCTGGGAGGAAGCCCCACCAGGCCTCCCACTGCCCCTAGGGTGACCAGCCAGCTCAGCCCTGCACAGACCCGAATCTGCCCTTGCTTGCTCCCCTGCAGACAAGGACGAATGCTCCAAGGACAACGGTGGCTGCCAGCAAGACTGTGTCAACACCTTCGGCAGCTATGAGTGCCAGTGTCGCAGCGGCTTCGTCCTCCATGACAACAAGCATGACTGCAAGGAAGGTAGGCGCTGCCCGGGCTACGCAGGGGCCCTCCTGGCACCTCGGCTTCCCACCAGGTATACAGAGGAGGGCCTTCTGCCCATCGGTCCTTCTTTAGACTCCAGGTACTGAGAGACCTCAGAGGGTACTTCCTTCTGACCCCTTCCTGGTGCATAGAGCCTCTCACACACCAGCAGCATCCAAGCCACACACACTCCTGGTCCCTTCTTGTACTTTTGAGGAGAGGAGGAGCTCACAGTTGCCCTCAGCTCTGTTTTTAGGCAATTCTGATGATTAGCAAATCCATGTCCAAGTCTTTCCCTTTGTAACACCTTCCTGGGGCAGAGAGGCAAGATGGCACAGAGGTTAAGAGCATATACTCTGGAGCTGCTTAGCTAGCTGTGCACCCTTGAGCAGCTGACTTCCTCTCTCTGCACCTTGGTTAGCTCTGTGTAACAGCACCCACCACACAGGGCATGGGCTGCTACAGAGTGCTTGGGCAGCACCTGGCTCAGAGTGAGCACTGTCATGGAGGTCACCATTATTGGTCACATTGCTGACCCATGACACTCTGAATGGGGCTGCTGCCTCCCTGACACTGAAGCCCTGCAGATATTTGAAACCCTCCTGTCATCACCGATAGCATCTGATATCTCACTGGACACGATACAGCACTGGCCTGTTCCTGGTTGTTGTTCCCTTGCGGCCCCTGCCTGCTGAGGGTGTAAGGGCCTCAGCACAATGCAGATGCACCTCCGCCACTGCATGTCTGTGGGACAATGGATGAGGCACTTCACCTCCCCGAGCTTTAGAGATGATAAAAAAAAAAATGGTACCTACTTTGCAGGGTACTAAGCCTTATAGATCTTGCTTTACTTAGCACAGTGCCTCGTGAACACCTGTTCTCAGCATTGTTAAGTGGACAACCAAGGTATAAATAAATAAACCGCTGGCCAGAGTGAACAGAACTGATGCACTTGTCCGTGACCCAACAGACTCTCAAGGGCTTCCAACCCGATCACTTCAGCCTCTCCACACATGGAGCTCCTGACTCATGTCACCTCCAGGTCTTTTAGCTAAAGGGGACCTTATTCTGCCATTGTCAAAACTGTGTCCCATCTCTGTACTCCATGAAAAGAAGAGCTAAAGAACTCTCAACCTCAGCATCAAGATAGCCAGGGTATGGGTGAAACTCCCTGGGAAGATGGTCTGTTCATAGGTCCGATTCACTTTAGGAGCATGCACCACTCAGGTGATAGGCCAATGACAAATCAGTCAGCATCCCCTGAAGCCCCGCAGAGGCTCCAGCACTGTGCAGAGCCCTGCAGCAGATTCCAGAGAGGAGCCCCTCTGCTCCCACGGAGACTGCGGTCTAGCTGGGGAGAGAAACGAGAGGGCATGGAAGTCCAGTGTAGACATAGGAGGGGGCAGTGAGTGTGGCCCTGGGAAACCACAGATGGGTAATGGAAACAGCCCACAAGTTAGATGTGTAGGGCCATGAGCTCTGCCTCACTCCCCTGGGGCCGCTGAGCAGCCTTCCAGGCTGCTGCCCCTCTCTGGGACTCGGGGCTGTGTGTTCATCCCTTGAGCCTCGGACTGGAGGCACAGCTGTGCGGCCTGTGCCCCACCCCTCTTCCCAGACTAGTAGTGCACTGGCTGCCCCAGTTCCCACAGGAACTGGTCACATTGGAGAATAATGAACCATGAGTATCGGCTTTTAAATTTGTAAGGCCACCTTTTCAGAGGCAGAAGGCGGATTGCAGTGGGTTGAGGGGCCGTGACTAGAGGGAACGTGGTGATAGCAAGAATGAAGGTTAGCTGAGAAGGAAAGGAAAGAGGCTGGGCGGTAGCTGGCTGGGAGTGTTGTTTTAGGATGGGCAAAGCTTAGGAAGCTACACAGGCTGGCAGAGCAAGAGGGTGGGCAGTTGGTGGTATAAGGGTTCCCATGTGGTGGCAGCAGTGAGCCCCAGCTCAACTGAAAGGAAAACCTCTTCCTATCGGAGAGGAGGGCACCTTCTCTGAGGCAAGAAAAGGAGGGGAGTTAGAGGCAGGGAAGGTGATCTTGCACGTAGGGGTCGGAAAGCGCAAGTTGTTCATATTTGAGGCTCTGATTTTCTCAGGCAGCAGGAGGTAGGGTGGTCTGCTGGGAGGGAGGTCTGGGGGTTGAGGAGAGAGTTGAAGGCTTGGAGCCATGGCTTTGGAGGTGAAGAGAGCTGGTGAAGGACAAATCTAAGAGCATCAAGTGATTTGGGGCCAGTGACCATTGGGGACCATAGACGGGGTTTCCAGGTGGCACAGTGGAAGGATGGTATGCCAATGAGCAGTTGGGGGAATCAGCCGTCTAGCCCAGCTGGACAGGGAAGCAAGTCAACCAAGGAGGGAACATTGGGCAAAACCGGACAGACAGAGGCCATGGAGGGCTTTCAGAGGTGCAGAAGGGCTGCAGGGAGAATGAGGGCTGGAGTTCCTGGGAAGAACGCGGCAGCCACAGAAAGGGTGACAGCAAAGCCCGGGTGGGGTTCTGAGCGAGCATGCCTCAAGAGGGGGGAGGTAAGAAGCAGAGGCTGAGGTCAGGGATGGAGAGGCCAGCAGGTCTGTTGACGTCACCGAGGATGGTGGCAGCAGGGACTGGAGAGAACTGAGTCTGCTGTGAAGGTGGCCGCATGGTGGGAGAGCAGAGGGCAACAGCATCATGAGGGCAGAGGTGGTGTGGCCAGGGGGCCTCACAGGTCCAGGGATCTACCCTGGGGTCTGCCTGGGAGGGAGGTGTCCATGGATGCCACCAGGTGGGGCCTTGCTTGGAACTAAGCAGCTAGACTTCCCCTGGCGTGGGTAACTGAACAGAGAAGGGGCCTTCATTCGGATCTGAAGTGGGGACGAGAGAAAGAAGACAGAGGGCAGGAGGGAAGGGCTTGCTTTCTTTCTTTACAGGGTGCCTTGGAGCACTGGGGGCCCTGCTGAGCCCCTTCCCCTCACTCACTTCCCCACAGCCGGCTGTGACCACAAAGTGACATCCACCAGTGGCACCATCACCAGCCCCAACTGGCCTGACAAATACCCCAGCAAGAAGGAGTGCACCTGGGCTGTCTCCAGCACCCCGGGGCACCGGGTCAAGCTGGTAAGGTGCCCGCTCCCCGGCCTGCAGGGCACCCTGCTCCTCTGTGCTGTCTGGCCATTATCTATTTCGTGTCAGCCTCAAAGCCCTGGGTCACTCACAGTCACTCCCCAGAGTGATGTAGGCTGCAGGCTAGTGGTCTGGCCAAGCCCATAGCATTGCCATCCCTGTGAGCACCCCAGTCTGACTGGACAAAGCCCCTTTCCCAGCGTGCACTGGGCATACACCTGCCGTCACCTCATTCCTGGGCCATCCCTCATTGTCCGCCAGCAGTGGTCACTTCCCCTGGTACCTGTGAACCGGGGTCGGGAGGCCTAGGCTCGGAGCCTGCTGCTGCCCACCCGCACCTGGCCCAGCCACATTCCTGATTCTCTCTTCTCCCTCTTGCCCCGCAGACCTTTGTGGAGATGGACATCGAGTCCCAGCCTGAATGCGCCTATGACCACCTGGAAGTATATGATGGGCGTGACACCAAGGCCCCCGTCCTGGGCCGCTTCTGTGGGAGCAAGAAGCCCGAGCCCGTCCTGGCCACAGGCAGCCGCATGTTCCTGCGCTTCTACTCCGATAGCTCTGTCCAGAGGAAGGGCTTCCAGGCATCCCACTCCACAGGTGAGGCCCGCCTCGGCTAGGCCACCGGGCAGCCAGTGCCCTCCTGCTGCCATTGTTCTGGAAGTGTCGGCTGATCCTGGGGTCTCAAAGACAGACCCTGAGCTTGGGGTGGGGGTCTTACAGGGGGCTGTGCAGGCACAGATGGGCGAGCCTGTAGCCTGCATAGAGAGAAACTGTGTTCTGAGGGCTGCACAGGGGAGCAGAGTAAGTGCTCAAGGGTGAGGCTGGGAGATCCTGATTAGGGGCTGTGAAGTCAGGAAACGGACCAGTGATGACAGTGGGTAGGGGCAGAGAGGGAATCCCCAATTCCTACTGTTAGGTCCCTTGTCTGTGCAGCAGCCTGCCCACATTCCAACCCACAAATTCATTCCTTCACTCATCCTACAGATATTTAACACATAACCTGCGTGAGGCAGTGTTCTAAGTGCAGATCACAAAAATGAACGAAGCAAACATTGTTCAACAACCATTTACTGAGCTCTGGCCCGATATAAGTAGACTTGGAGCGGCATGTGGCGATGACTCAGACCTGAGTCCTTCCCCCAGCCTGCCCTGGGACAGTCCAGGAGTGAGACAGGGCAGTGCTGGTAGCTGATAATTGCCACATGAGCTGCACATGATAAGGGCCTAGCTCTGGGGTGTGAGCTGGTGGGGTCATTCCAGCAAGAGGAGCCTGGGCAGCTCTGAGTGCACAGGTGACCACAAGTCATTTCGTCTGGCGTGAGCAATGGGTGTGTGAGGACAGCAGAGAAGTGGGAAGGACGCAGCTGCAAAGAAAGGCTGGAGCCCAGCTGGGAGGCCTGGGACGGCAGGCCAGACTCAGCTGCGGGCTTCACAGGCTACTCATAGGTCTTGAGCCATGTTCTGGGGGTCCCCAGAACTTCCCCTTTTCCCTTTGAACTCAGTCCCTGACCCAGGCCCCGCCCCAGCCCCTCCAGGGAGCCATGAGCACCAGGAGTCCCAGAGGCCAGAGGGCATAGGAGGAGGGTGGCAGCTAATGGCCCTGCCCTGCATGCTCTCATTTGCACCCTCCCAGCATCAGCTCCCCCACTGGGGGCCCAGAACTACATCTGGCCCTCCGACCTGCTATGTTTGGTCCACACTGTGTTTTTTAAGAATGTGAGCCAACATTTAAAAATCAGGAGTTTTAGCGTAAAACCCAGATGTGTGTCCTCTCTCTTAAGAATGGAAGCTCTGGCAACGCAGGACCCCATGCTTCCACGAAAGCCATCAGCTGGAGAAAATTAGCAATGCCATCTTACAGCAAGGCTGCCTTCCCCAGTGTCTCTGCTGAGAGCTGCCTGCCCCAATCCCCAACCCCACTCCCTCCCCACACCACGCAGGCGTGCCCTGGAGCCTCTGTGCGCACTTACCCAGAGGGTGAGCAGCAGAGCGCTTGTTCTAAGCCAAGTCTTGTAGCAGGTCCAAACCCACCCATCACTTGCCATGTGGCATCTCCCAAGGCCTCCACCTAGCCAGGAAGGCTCAAGGTGATAAGGCACAGTGCCTGGCCATGGCCATGCTCAGGGAGTGGTGACCAATCTTGTCCCCGCAGAGTGTGGAGGCCAGGTGCGGGCAGAGGTGAAGACCAAGGATCTTTACTCCCACGCCCAGTTCGGTGATAACAACTACCCCGGGGGAGCGGACTGTGAGTGGGTCATCGTGGCGGAGGAAGGCTACGGTGTGGAGCTGGTATTCCAGACTTTTGAGGTGGAGGAGGAGACAGACTGTGGCTACGACTACATGGAGCTCTTCGATGGCTATGACAGCACAGCCCCCAGGCTGGGGCGCTACTGCGGTTCAGGGGTGAGCCCTGCACCCCACTCCCCTTTCAGGAGCCAGAGGACCGGAGGCCTGTGCTGCCCTGGGCCACCCCCACCAGGAACTTGGTCCCTTTTGGCCAACACAGAGCTTCTACAGCCTCTGGGACAGGCCCTACCTTGCCCACCAGCTCAGCACCTGTTTGGCCAGGCCTGCAGGGTAGCTTGCATCTTGGGAGGAGGATGGCATTCTCTCTGCTCCCCTTATCCCCTTGCCCCAGTCCCAAGGCAGCTTTTCAGGGCCCAGAGTAGGGGGCACAGGCTGGGGCAAGAGCCAGGGAGCAGGGTCCTGAGCTGAGCCACACAAACCAACCACTCTGGCTGAACCTTAAAAACACCCTCTTCACTTCCGCTGCCAGTTGCTCGTCTGGTCCCAAAGAAGACCTGACGGTCTTCCTGGCATGGTCCCAAGAGAAGCCAGCTGGTCCCAAAGCCCTTGGTGCTGCTCTCCAGGCAGAAGCTGAGCATAGCCTCTTGTCCATAAAATGGCACATTCTGAAGCCGTGGGCAACATTTTGTTTGATGGGATTTTTAACAAGGCCACAGGAAGCCCACAAAGGTGGATTTATTTTCCTCCCAGTCAGAGCTTGTGGCTTCTTTTGTTTTTTTTCTTTTGTTGTTTTGAATCCTTTCCTCCTTCAGAGAACACTGTCTTCCCCTCCCCATCACATATGTACACACCCTTTTGCACGTGTACTCACACTTACATGCACACTCCTTACCTCTTAAATACACCTCCTCCTCACCTCCCTGAACACTCTCCACTCTCACAGCCCTGGGGCAGCTTGGGCACCCCAGGAAGGGTTAAATTTCCCAGAGCTGCAATAGCTGCTGGACCCAGCATTGGCCAGCTGAACCCTTCGGAGCGGAGCAACAGCCTGTGTTGAATGACCAGAGCTGGTAGGACTGAGACAAGGTGGGAGGCAGGGAGGCGGAGCAGGGGGGAGTGGAACCCACAAACCCCTTGCCTGCCTGGCTCAGCTTCTCTGGAATCCCCTGACTCCCAAGCTAATACCTCCTCCCCCTTTGCCCTATGGAACTCCCTTGATCTGGCAGGCTGTGGTAAGTCACACACCAAATCGGTATCCCCAAGTGGCTTTTTCCAGAGACTTCCACCAGGCTGGAACCAACGGGAGAGGGCCTGGGGAAGGAACCCAATCCCGTCAGGGCTTCCTGGCATGGCTACTGGAAATGTCCCCACGGTTCTTGGAAATGACCTTGGGAGCCAGGGCCTGTGTGCCGCTCTCTCCCTGAGGGCCTGCACGCCGGACGTGAGCAGGGGCTGGCAGGAGCCCAGGAAGGGGCATCACCTGGAGCTGACCGTGGCCAGAACCAGGGGAGGGCAGGGGCGGGATGACTCCACATTTGGGAGGCCCAGCTGTCCTGTCTGCTCTGAGAGCCGCCTGGGACAGCAGGAAGGCAGCCATTTGGGAAACCTCCTTGTGCAAAGCCTTTCACAGCCATCGTCTCATCTGCCCCCTGACCAGCCCTTCTGGGCTTGGAGAGCATATAGCACTTGCTCGCTCCTGTTTGTCTGCTGGGGGAGCGAGGTGCAAAGTGTTGCCGAAAACCTCTCAGCTAACGGGCCCGCCTGTGGCAGGCTGGGCTTAAAATGGAAGTGTGGTTCTGAACTCAAGACAAGTTCCTTCTTCCCTGCCTTCTCCGCTCCTCCAGGCGCTCCTCCAGGTTCTGCTGGCAAGAGTCTTCCTCCCACTTCCAGGGGCTGGAAGGCCCTTCCTTAGAGCAGGGGTCTGGGGGAAGGAAAAACAGCAGCCCGGCACCCCCGCCCTCAGCTTCACGCCCGTTCCTTTCCTCTGCCAGCCTCCCGAGGAGGTGTACTCAGCCGGAGATTCCGTCCTGGTGAAATTCCACTCAGATGACACCATCACCAAGAAAGGCTTCCACCTGCGGTACACCAGCACCAAGTTCCAGGACACGCTGCACAGCAGGAAGTGAGCGCTGCCCTCACACTGGGCAGGCGGGAGCTGCTGCCCTTAGCCACCGGGACCTGACAGCGGGGGTGCGGGAGCAGGCAGAAGGTGGGCACCCTGATCCCTGCTGCCCCCATCCTCCCCAGTGCCGGCCTGCAGGGCTGGTGGTCCAGGTGAGGCTGTCCTCAGGAGGCAGGGGACTGGACTTCCTCCTGAGCCACTTCCCTGGCCTCCCTTGCCCCCACCACAGCGAGGGGCAGAGCTGCAACACCAGAGCTTTCACTGAAACACTTGAAGTGGCCATTCCTCCCTGGGAGCCTGGTCCAGGTGGGTTGGTGGGGAGGGGGTCTGTCAGCAGGACCCGCTCACCTGCCCTGGCCCTTGTTAAGCGCTGCATTGTGTATAGCCGGTGGCATATCTTCATTGTAATGTGCATTTTCCGCCCCTTCTCCAACCTCAGTTTGGTTTTAAGACCCCACTTCCCTGTTTCCTGGGGTATGAGTGTCCATCCATGTCCCAAAGGAGCCGCAGTGGGGAGATGAAGGGAAGGGGGTGGGGAAACAAGACAGGGCTTCTCGCAGGCCCAGTGGCTGGTCAGCCGCACCAGTGTACCCCAGCCAATAAACTGAAAGTGTTACAGCCAGTATCCTGTGCCAGATGCTGTCTGGGACATGGGGGAAAGGGGGTGTCTCATTCCAGATGCGCAGGCTTACTATGTCGACAGACAGCCCACAGCCAGGACACCTGGCCTCACTGGCTGCCCTTCCTTCCCTCCATTCCAGGACCTCTGAGGGTGTGATTTCTACAAACACAGGCACCTCACATAGTATAGCCTGCAGGCTCCCTACATGTACACACTGCTCACAGCCCTTCACACACAACGGGAGGGGTGGAACATTCTGTGAAGAGGCTGTTTGGTGGGGAGAAAGGAGGTCTGTAAAAGGGGATAGGGATGTGTCTATCCATCCAGTGTCTGTCCAGTGTTCTGACTTTGTGTCTGGCCAAGAGGCAGGTGAGCTGCGGGGGGACCCAGCAAGGGAAACTCATCAGGAGCCAGAAAACTGGCATCAGCCAGCACAGATTCAGTAACTGGCCTCTAGCGCCTGCCTTCCTAAAGGTCAGACACCAAGTGCTGGCCCCGGTGGGTCCTTCTCTTCTCATGGAGACAAGTGTCAGACACTCATCAGTCTGTGAGCAAACATTCCAGCTCTGGGCCCCTCTCCCAAGGCCAGCCAAGGCTGGGTCTTGCCTGGCCTCCTCCCCACTCACCAGCCAGCAGTGAGGCACAGACCTGTCCCCATCTCCGGGGGGCCAGGCAGAGAGAAACCACATCCCCGCTCCTTCCCTTCAAAGGAGCCTCTTTCCCCTTTCTCTATGTGGATCTAACAGGGAGAGAAAGCCAAGAAGGGACCCAGGTGCTTATGCCTAGGCTGGCTGCTCCTAGATTCAGAGAGAGTGGGGCTGCCAGCTCCAAGCCCCGGGACTCCCTGAGAGCCTTCAGTGGGACTGGAGGGCTATTACTGGCTCCGAGTTCCTTCCTCACAGGGACAGATGTGTCCCCAGGGAGCAGTGCGGCATGGTGTACCCCATATTGGCCCTTTATGCAGAAAGTAGTAATAGAAACCAGACACACTGCTAGTATCTGATGTGCATGCAGGACCCTCTCGTAGGAAGGCAGCCTGCTCCAACAGTAATCGCAGGAGAGGCCTTAGAGCTCTGAGCGGGAGGAGGGGCTGGCGGGGTTGAGGGGCAGGGCGGGCTTACTGCTTATTGCTCCAGTGAGGTCACAGGCTGTGGTGTCAGAGCCACCCCTCCCTGCCTCTACCTCTTCTGACAGGGGTGGTTGGAACAGCCTAGAGAGCCATGAGCACAATGGGGAGACCCCAAACCACTGGAGCCACCCGGGCCCCTCACCGACTTTGCCAACCAGCTTGGCTGCAGCTCCTCTGTAGCACAATCTGGTCAGTGGTCACAGCTCTCTTCGCCAGCCCTCCAGGTTCTTCTGAAACTCAGGACCACACTCCCAGTTCACCAACTGCGTGTCCGGAAGGATCCAGGAGCAGAACCCTACCAGCCAGCCACAGACAGTACCCGATCTTCCAGCTGGAATGGGGCCTCTGAACAGGCTGCAGCTCGGGGCTGACCCATGAGCCACCCCGACACCTGTCCCAAGACTATCACCACCGTGAACTTGGACCCTCCAGTTCCTCAGGTGCCCTTGCTGCTGTGCCCTCCCGCTCTTCCAGGGGTTCACCTCAGAGGCTGGCTGCAGGCCATGGGTGCAGATTCCAGAACTTAATCAGTGAATGTGCTCTCAGGGCCCAGCCCACTCCTCGCCTGCTGGCTGCTTTAGACTAGATCAGCGCCTGCACAGCCACCCACCAGCTCAGGTGGTTTCATATCAGAGGAAGGCACCCTTGCTCCTCCAACTGCCTCCAAGCCCCTGAGGTCTCCCTGGGTCCTGAGTGTATGGCCAGCAGTGGCAGAGCTAGGACAGACCTGTCCCCGATGGCGCTCTCAACCCAGGAACCAGGGTGAGACAGCCTCATCTGCCGGGGCATCAGACTCCTCCCTCTGGGGGCACCTGTCTAGCCCCAGAGGATAGGACAAAGGCATTTGCCTGGCAGCTAGGAGCCCTGGCTCTGCCGTGCTTCACCGTGTGGCATTGCCCTGCTGTCCCCTCCCTGGGCCTCTGCTTCCCAAGCCTGTCGCTGCCTTCCCCCAGCGACCCTTCCTGCCTCAGCCAAGGCAGCTGGGAAACCAGGGCCTAGTCTCCAAGCAGCCAGAGGGCGGGGGCCCTCAGCAGCAGTGGGGGGCTTCCAGGGCCAACTGCTGTCTCACTTCCAGGAGGAAAGTTGCATGCCCTGCCCCACCCCTCCTCCTTTTCCTCTTTTCCCTTCTCCCCCTAACACCATGTGCTTCTCAGTCCTGACAATGTCACAAGCTTGAATGCAAATATAGCCAGTTCTGAGCACAAGCTCTGCCATTTGATGGCTGTGTGCCCCTGAGTGAGTCATTTAACCTCTCTGAGCCTTAGTTTCTTCATCTAGACACATGGAAGATAAACTCTCACAGGGTTTCAAGGAAGATAGGAGATACCATTTGAAGAGAACCTGTCACAGTACCTGGCAAATAGGATGCTTTTCATAGATGGACCTTCTTGTCCTTTGCTCTGCCAAATTTCCAGTTCCTGGACTACTATATTCCTATGCTGAAAGGAAACTTCGGGGTACCCTGGTTTCCAGTCAGACATCAGGAGCTTAGCGCAAAACCACTCCTGCCAGAGAGCACAATGCTTCACCCGCAGCAAGGTGGGGCTTGCCGGGCAGCAGGAGACATTTCCGGCTAGCTGGTAGCCTTTCTGGGTACCTCCCAAGTCACAGCCTGTGCCTGACTGTCACTACACACAAGGCTCATTCTAGAATCCATGAAAAGACTTGCTGCTCCAGTTTGCAAAAATAGTAGTGCCTGATTTGGGGAGTGGGGAAGAGGGCAGCCAGATGTTTTCCCCAGAGAGCCATGAGGGCCCCCAACCCAGTCTCCTGCTGGCCAGCCTGCTTCTCCTGCTTCAGCCCCCCAACAGCCCCACATTCTCCCTACCCCCATCCCAGGAACATCTGGTTCCAATCTCCTCCAGATGCCGTGGCCAAGCTCTTTTATGGCCAATCACCTCGGCTAAGCTTCCCAAAGGCCTTTCTGCAGTTGGAGGAATGGTCCCTTCTCACCCCTTTCCTTGGGACCCCAGCCACCTCTTTTCCTAACATGGAACAGAAACGCATACTGAAGCCAGACAAAACTGTGTCCAAGAGCTGGCCCCCACTACCTTGGCGGGGACTGTCAGCCATCCAGGAATAAAAGGAAGGTGCTGGCCCAGAAGAAAAGGAACAGAAGGGGGGAAAGTGTGGCTATATATCTGGGCAGAGGAGTGGGGGGAGCATTAGTGCATGGGGCCATATTATGTGTTGGGTGTGTCTGCATGTTGGTGCTTCCACAGAAAAACACCCCACCTGTAACCCAGAGGTGCCCCGTTGGTGGCCATCACCCCGTTTTCCCTGCCTGCATGCACTGGAGCAGGGCTATCTCAGTGCCCCCTCACTGGACAGCGGCAGCTGAAGTTCAAGGTTGTCCCTCACCCTGTGGTTCTCTGTCTCTGTGGCTGCCTAGCCTGTCTTCTAAATCCCGTCCCGAGAGGCAGTGTGTATGTTTGCATAAGTGTGTGCATTCACATAGAGACTTCTCCCTTCATACAAGTTCTGATTTGAGGGAAACAGGCAGGAAGGGACCCCAGGGCAGACTCCCAGCTCAGCCTGACGGGCACCTTGACCAGCCCAGGGCTGGCCATGTGATGCAGAGCAGCCATCTGGAGAGAAAAGAAGGGGCAGGCTCTCTGGAGGAAATTGCCTGCAGTCCTGCCCCCACCCCACCCCTCAGGTTGCCACCCTCATCCCCGACTAAGAAGACACTGGGAGCCAATCTCTCCTCCTAAGAAACCCAGAGGGTTCATTCACAAAAAAAATACTGAAGAACCATCTCTGGAGGACTCTGAAAACCCCTCAGCTGGTGGGGTGGGGGTCCTGCCCAGAAGCAGAAGGATGGACCCTGAAGGTCACCCTCATCCTTGGAATTCTGGACTCCAGTGCCACCCACGATGCCTTTCAAATGAGCCTCCTTGGCATTTGCAACTCCACAGCTCCCCCTGGCGTCATTCAGGAACTAGGCAGGGGCTTGGTTCTCCCCAGGAGGTGAGGACCCTTGGGAGGGCCCCGTCCATGTCTACTGTCCCAGGTGTCCCCTGGCACACACGAGGGGAGACAGAGCAGTGTAATGGGAAGATTCCAGCTTCTGACTCAAATCTTGGGCACTGTCACCTACCGGCTACAAGACATGGGCAAGCCTTTTACTTCTTTGCGTCTCAGTTTCTTCATCTCTTACAGGGGAATAATACAGTGCAGGGCCACAGTGAAGACTAAAAGAGCTGATGTGTGTGAAAGCGCCTGGCCTGATACCTGGCACATAGTAAGCCCTCAGAAAGCGGTGTTCACCCTTCAGCTATCCTTTCTCACCCATGGAGACCTGCTCCAAGTTCTGGATGACACGTACGTTTGTTCCTGAGCCAGGCAATGTCAGTGAGGTGACTCTAATTTTTCTGGAGCTTTTCTACTCCCGCAGAGGATCATTTTAATAAGTCCATAATAATAGACGCAGAGGTGACTCAGATCTGCAAGTCAGGAGCGCTGCTGGGGAGGGGACAGTCGAGCTCTGGGGGAGGGAAATTCACTGGCATCTAGGTCTGATGCAATGGCAGGCTGTGGTGGGAAGGGTTTCAAATGGGGGTTGGGGACCTTGATTAGGCCTCCAGATCACTACAGGTTCTCCTCTAAGAGGCCTCAGGCTCCCCTTCTGTGAAGTGCAGCGTAGAACCAAATGACCTTCACATTCCCTTCCAAGCTGGAGCTATGGCCCTGCTTTCTGAGAGCTGCCTCCCATTGCGAGATTTTGAACATCCCAGGGACGATTGCAGGTGGCCTGTTCTAGGGAGGTGTCTCCCCTTTGAGCTGCTCTGTGATTGTACGACTTGCCCACCCACCCCTCCCGGAGCCCAAGGAGAGGTGGAGCTCTCAGGCCATGGCGGTTTATTGATACACACTGCAAGCACAGCACGGGCAGGTGTGCCCCGAGCCCAGGGCAGATGGGGCCAGGGGCGGGCAGCGGGCCACCCCACAGCAACACTGTCAGCACAGGGCTAAAGGGCCTGGAGGCCCATGTCCTCTCCCTGCATCTCCCAGCGCCCCCAGACCTGATCCATGCCATACCAACAGCTGATCACACCTCTCCCTGTGGCTACAGAAGAGGCCACCAGCTGTCCCATCTGCCCCCTTACTGAGATATGGCCTTGTTGGCCTGCTGGCCCCTTCTGTCCTTCATCACAGAAATCTGGCTGTCTCTGCACGATATCACCTCCTCACAGTCATCCCCCAAAGAGTACCTGCCTACTGACAGCTCTCCCCACCACCCCACCTGGCCTGCTTGTCTCAGGGGTCCATCCTTACCACCCTTGCGACCCATACAAAAGTAGGAAACAGGTGAAATGCTGGGGCCCAGGAAAGCCTTCACCAAGAACTCCCCAGGGAAGGGGCTCTCTGGGGGAGCCTGGACAGTGCCAGTGGTGGGGTTGTGGGGCCAGTGGCAGGGAGGCCACAGTCCAGATTGCACACCGGCACAGTGCCCTCATGGCACCTGGCAGAGAAAGCCAGCAAAGTGCACAGCCAGGGGGCGTGCCAGGGCTCAGCGAACCCTGAGTCCCCTCAGGACATGAGGCAGCCCACTTCCGGCTGACAAAGGGGTACCTCTGGGTCTCAGGGGACTCTTCCCCCTCCTAGACCCGGGTGGCTGCCATTTCAGACCCCAGCACTCTGAGCAAGGGAGAAGAGATTCGGGGGTATGGGTCACCTCCCATTAGAAGAAAGGAAAATCCCGACAGCCTGGAGCCTCCAAAGCCAAGGGAAAACAGAGGGCCCCTTTCTAGAGGATGGGTAGGGAAGGGGCAGGACAGCCCTCCCCATGCAGGCAGAGGGTGCTGTGGGGCACAGAGCGGCAGGGGGCACAGCAGTGCAGGGAGCTATTTATAGAGGGAGAGGGCCAGGCCTGGGGACAGAAGCCCCAGCCACGCTGAGCACAGAGGGGTGTTTGCGGTTGGCCCCGAGCGGG